GCTTCTCAGACAATCAAGAGCTAGTTACTGCCATTTCCAGAATAAGCGAATTCAAAACTGATAATATGAATGTTTTCAAGGAACTCGGTAATTCTAAAAATTTACAGTAAATGTGAATTTTTTTACTAGCATGTTTCTTACTACCCTTTCACTAGTAACTCAAATTCATAAATTTTCAGGTTTGAAAGTTCCCAGTGAAGAAGAATTGGCAGTTGTGAAAAACTTCCTCATCCAGCGAGAAGCACAGACTGACGATGGAACTAGATTAGAGGTACTTCTCAGATTTCGTGAAGCTTTCCTTAAAACGTACGAATTGATGGCAGCTGTTGAGACATTTGGGTGTAGTACAGCAACTTGCGAATCAACTTTTTCAACATTGACTGCAATCAATAGGCCACAGCGCTTGTCAATGTCCCATGCTCGCATGGCTGATCTAGTGTACTTGGCTTTCGAACGACATCGCACAAGTGCATTGAATATCGATGTAGTTCTCCGAAAATTTAATGATAGGAAAAATCGTAAACTGGCATTGTACCAAGTTACCTAATAATATTTTCTGTATGTTTTCTTTCGCACATGAAATTTAAAAATACAAAGCATACACGTTCATCACTCATTTATTGTTTGTTTATTTATTTATTTATTTTTTTCATCATTTATTGTTGTAAATTTTACCCTGCCCGCAGGCCCGTATCCAGAAATTCATTTCGGGGGGTGCCCAAGTTCCCAAAAAATTTTTGACAAGCAAAAAAAAAAAAGGTCTCAAAGCAATCAAGGCCCCTCGGCCCCCCCCTGGATACGTGCCTGCCCGTCTTACTTTACTTTGTGCCCGTACAACTAGTTAGGTCTGGCTACGGGCCTGTAATGCTGCCGATTCGGATACTAAGTACCATAAGTGACCCAAAATTTTTTTTTAAAACTACTTTAGAAATATCTTTATCTATTGGTTCATAATCAATTATATTTTTAATAAATCTAAATTTGGCGCTAATGCAGCATTGGTGCACTTAATCATTGTTTAATATATAAACTTGTAATAAAAATACACAATGAACGAATATTTAACTCTTTGATTGACAATTCAAATTGGCCCCGAAACAAAAAAATTTTCAAACAATTAATGGCCTTGGCCATCTAACGAGCATGATGGATTGGGCCAGGAATTTTAAAATAAATTCTATGCAAATGTTAGGGCGTGATATTTTATACTTACCATGCAGACATCACATTTATGAAATTATATTGAAAAGTGTTTTTGAAGTAAAATTTAATACGTCATCTGAACCAGATGTTCCTATTTTCAATAAATTCCAAAAGTCTTGGCAAAATATAAATAAAACAAATTACTTAAGTGGAATAGAAGATACTATTATTTTAGAAAAATTAAAAATAAAAAAAAACGATACTTTGAAATTTAGTTTTGAACAATTACAAAAATACCAACCTCGAATTGACTTTTAGAATTGGTCATAATATTTTTTGGTGAAACACCTTTACATAGAATTTATTTTAAATTTCCTGGCCCAATCCATCATGCTCGTTGGATAGCCAAGGCCATTTATTGTTTGAAAATTTTTTTTGTTTCGGGGCCAATTTGAATTGTCAATCAAAGAGTTAAATAATATTCATTTATTATGTATTTTTATTACAAGTTTATAAAGTTTCTGGTTGTATACAGTGCTCGAATTGGGGGAGGGGGGGTGCGCAGGGGGACGTAGCTCCTCTACTTTTTTTTAAATTTTTTTGCGCACCCCAACTACTTTTTTTTATTGGGTGGACAGGAGGACGGTGGAAAATACCACTTCTTTTTTTTTTTTTTAAATATTAGTATGATAATGAAATATGATTTATTAATAAATACTAAATAAAGTAATGAGTAAAAAAAAAAAAGGTCTTCAAAATGCTAGGGACGCAGTTTTCAAATTGTTAAGTTGAGCTCCCCTACTTATTTTTGGCCAATTCGAGCACTGGTTGTATATAAATTTGTAAGTTAACATTATTTTAGCTTCAATGTGAAACTGAGACGGTATTAATTTTACTCTGATGTGTTTTTTTTAATTAAACTTAAAAAAATTGTAGGATTTGAACAATCATAAATAATAGAAAAAATGTATAGAAAATTAAATTTAAAACAACGGTTAAATGAATTTTTTTTATGTTTTTACAATGATTTATAAATTAACAATTTCAACGGTAAGAATAGAACATATACGTTTTTATTTTTTTAGGGTTAAATAAGAACTTTTCGAAAATTTTTGTATAAATACTTTTTATAGAAAAATTGTATACCTACAAAAAAGTCCAAATAAACATTTTCGCAATAGCTAAAGTTTTTGAGATAGACATAAAAAACTAAAAAATCACCCTTGGAGGGTTATTTTTAACCCTCTTGGGGCACGCTTAGAGTTGACCAATCGTCTCCAAATTTTGTACAATTTATTTTTTCATGTATTCGAATAATTCTAGGGGGTGACACTTCGTAATTTTTAAATTTTATAAATAAGGGACACCCTAATGTACACTGGAGTATCTCTATATATTTACCACTTATAGATAATTAGAAATATTGTCATTCTCTACTAAAGGACATTAGGAAATAGGCCAAGAAATAATAAATCCTTGAAGTATTCAATTTATTTTTACCTGAAAACAATGTTTCAACGTAACCTCCTTAAAACGTTTTAAGACTGTAGATATTTTATTACTATAAAGGATGAATTTAAATTCAGCAGTTTGTTGGGAAATAATGTTTTGTTGGCTAATTTTTATTTTCCATACAATAAATGTCAAGATTTTAATATTATTATGCATTATTATTATTAGATTATTCCGTAAGCTATATAAGTTTAACCAGACCAAAATAGATGCAGCAGTTACTTAGTTGATAGTCTTTAAACTAAGGTCATTGAGTTCATTCATTTAAGAAACATAAGTATGCATTTTCAAATAAGTTTAAACCACGAGAGCGAGCTAAGTACATGAGTATATATTTATCAATAATATTGTTGTCCACAAATTGCATGATGGCGGAATATTGCAAAAGAAAATACCGTATTCTTAACCCACATTAAAAAAAATTCATGAGTTTATGAAATATCAATTAAATTGAGAAAATCAATAATTAAAGTTAACTCTCTTTATAAATGTTTCGGCCAAAAACTAAAATACAATTCGTTTCAATAAATTAAATCTCACGAGTAATGATAGTGAAGATAATTTGATGTATTTATTTTAATTTTGTTACTATTTTAATACTTTGAAAGTTATAAATTATCACAAAAATTATGGCTGTATATTACAAATAAAATGGGTACTTGTTGTAGTCGCCACTCTCCCGATCCTGGTCGTCATATGGGTAATAGTTTGGTAATTATTGAGTTGAAAAATTATCATTACTCTTTTTTTTTTTTAGTGTTTCATCCAGGGTATAAAATTGAAAGTACGATAGATGTCCTTAATAAAGGTTCAGGTGATGTACGCTATGTTGCAGATTTAAGTCGACAACATGGAACTGCAAGTATTAAAAGACATGGAGTTGATATTATACGAACCCCTACATCAACATGTAAAAATTCTATTGTACAATTTTTAAAATTTGTATTTATTTTCCCACTATTTTGTATTATATTAGTGCATTCATCATTGCATAGTCGGATTGTGGTTGCAGTGTATAATTATCAATCAAGGGAAATGTCGGATGTTTCCTTTGTTAAGGGAGATCGTATGGAACTATTAGATGACAGTGAACCTGATTGGTGGCGAGTAAGGCATTTAAGGACAGGTGATGAAGGATTAATTCCATGGAATTTTGTTGCAGAAGAAAAATCTGTTGAGAGTGAAGAGTATGTATTGAATATGTCTAAAACTAATAAAGTATTTTAATTATTTATCATTTTTTTGACTAGCTGGTTTTTTGGTAAAATATCTCGAAAAGAAGCAGAAAAACTCTTATTATCAGAAGAAAATCAAAGAGGAACATTTTTAGTTCGAGATTCTGAACATACTCCTAATGGTTTTTCTTTAAGTGTAAAAGACTGGGAGGGTGGACGTGGCTATCATGTTAAACATTACAAAATTAAAACACTGGATAATGGTGGTTTTTATATTGCTACAAATCAAACATTTTCTAATTTACCTGAATTGATAATTGCATATTCTAGTTAGTATAATTTTCTGTTATTATTAAAATTATTACTTTTTTAAATAGCTATAATTTATGTAAATTATTATATTTAGAAAATGCTTTGGGATTGTGCCATGTGTTAGCTCGTCCTTGTCTCAAACCACAGCCACAAATTTGGGATTTAGCTCCAAATTTTAGAGATCAATGGGAAATAGATAGAAATGAAGTACAACTAATTAGAAAACTAGGTCATGGTAATTTTGGAGAAGTTTGGTATGGCAAATGGCGAAACAATATTGAAGTAGCAGTAAAAACTTTAAAACAAGGCTCTATGTCAACACAAGCATTTTTACAAGAAGCTTCAATTATGAAAAAGTTTCGACATGATAGATTGGTTGCTTTATATGCTGTTTGTTCAAAGGATGAACCTGTATTAATAATTCAAGAATACATGTGCAATGGCAGTCTGTTAGATTTTCTAAGAAATAGTGATAACAAATATTTACAATTTGCTGATCTTATTTATATTGCTTCACAAATAGCCAGTGGAATGGCTTATTTAGAATTGAAACAATTAATACATAGGTATAATATTTATAAATGATTCAGCATTATGTATTACATAAATAACTATTTTGTGTAATTTAGAGATTTGGCAGCTAGAAATGTCCTTATAGGAGAAAATAATTTAGCCAAAATTTGTGATTTTGGACTAGCTAGGATTATTGAGGATGATGAATACTGTCCAAAACAAGGTACCAGATTCCCAGTCAAATGGACAGCTCCAGAGGCTATTGTATATGGCAGATTTTCTATAAAATCAGATGTGTGGTCATTTGGAATTTTGCTAATGGAATTATTTACATATGGTCAAGTGCCATATCCTGGTATTAAACATTTTTTCCCTTTTAATTAACTACCAGAAATTTGGTTTTATTCCAGTTTACTACTACTATTTAGTAAAAAAATAAAATGATTTTCTATTGTTTGTCTACTTTTTTATTTACAATATATACGTTTTTAAAAATAATTGTAATTTAATATTATTTTGTTAGTCTGTGGCTCTTACAAAAGATATAAGAGAGCATAGAAGCAATAAACCCATTTGAAAATTTATATTTGTCAATAAGAAGTAAAATATAACTATAAAATCAATAATTATACAGATTATTAAGAAATAAAATGAAATCTGAGTGTAGTGAAACTATGTATGTTTTACTAGACTCGGAATTTATGTAATGGTATTATAATCCTTTTCTAAATATATTTTTTTAGTGTTTTTTAAAATAATTATTTAATATTACACCTTTAATGCTACTAAAGATTTATATTTCTTTGTTACCTTTTCTTATTTTTATATATTTTTAAGGTATGCATGGACGAGAAGTTATTGAACAAGTGGAACATGGTTATAGAATGCCAAAACCTGTTTCAAATTTTATACCTGATGACATTTATAGACTGATGTTATTATGCTGGGACTCCGATCCTGAAAAACGACCAACTTTTGAGTTCCTTAATCATTACTTTGAAGACTTCACTATTACCTCAGAAATACCATACAGGGAAGTAAGTGATTGAATATATTTAAAGTACACATGAATTTGTACAACTCTTGAAGTAATGTAGAATATTTTATTTCTGTAATTTTCCTTTTTTTAGTCAAACATGTCCTAATTTAAAATATCAACTTCATCATTTAATAATATAATTTTTTTTTTAATTCACTAATAAATTTACTTGTACATATTTTTAATTTTTAATTATTTGTTTTTAGATCTCATTTTTTTAAATTTATGATTTTGTTATCAATTATACTTTCATAGAATAATATGCCATGCTTAAGTATTGTGCATTTATTCATGCCAAATACTTATTTTAATCTCTTCAAAAATAAAAATATATGCAGATAATATGGAGAACATAGAATAGGTATTTATATACCAACTGTTGGATAATTCTTTTTATGAATTATCTAAAATATACAGGGCTAAGTATGCATTTATAGCTTATCAAGTATCAAATATAATTCTTATTAATTTTAATTTATAATATAAACTAAAATATGATATGATAAAAATATCTTTTTCATAACTTTTGATATTTTTATACTAAAATTAATACTTCAGTAACATTTTTATTATGATTTATTATTATCTTATATTCCTATCTTAATTAAACCAAAGTAAAATTTATTTTAAATCACACTTTTAAGTATTCTTATAAACCATTGTTGTTTAAAAATGATTTTTAATAATTATCATTTATTTTATCCTTGTTCCGAAATAGTTATTTTTATTTTATTTAAAATAAAATAAATCCAAGTAATAAGTCTTATATTTGATATATACAATTGAATAATGAACACTTTTTTAATATTTTCACTAAAGTCAATATGATATTTTTATATCATAATGTAAATATAAATTTTGATATATGAAATATGAGCAAAAAAACTTAATTAATCTAGTCTATATGTGTTAGTGTGTGTATATGTGTATTTAGTTATGTTTCATACTACTTACAAATTAAAAATAATTTTGTTGTTAAAAAATCATTGATTTTCATATCTTTCCTATTAAAATATAAGTTTGAATGAATTTATTATTATGTATTCACTCACCTCTAATATTAACTTATATTGACTTTTCACAAGAATTTTCTTTTAAGTTATTGCGTTTAGAATTAAGTTTAATTAATTATTTTATTTTAAACTCTATTACAAAATAATATTTATCTGTGATAAAAATATTTTTTTTGACTCAAAGTTTTATTTTATGTAGTGTTGATAATTAAGGACACACTTATAAGACCAAAAAATTGTTCAGGAGAATAAATTAAAATTTCTAACTAATATTATTTTTATCAATCATGTCTAGGAAAAATGTAAATATTAAAATAAATATTGATTACAATTTAAGAATCTTAAGTACAGAATAAAAAAATAACTATCCGCACAATTCTATTAAAGTTTATCTATTTGAGAAAATATATATCAAGTGTGAATTAGACTATGTATATTTTTTTTTTTTGCATAATTATGATTGTTTGTCAATTTATTTATTCTGATTCATATTATATATTTTATATTAGTAATATTTATTGTATTATCTTTATTTATTTTATGTAAACTATAAATATTGTTTCAAATTATAAACATCATAAAATTGCTTTAAAAAATGTTGTATTTATTTATATCTAATTAATTTTTGAAAATTAAGAACTTAATTAATTTTAATGATTTACTTTAAATAAAAGAACCAATAAAAAAAAGTTGTTAAAAAGATTTACTCAATTGAGCGTATTATAAAATTTGATTATAGTTGTAAAAATCCATTGTTAAATTCAGGTGAAACTAAAAATAATTTTTTAATATGTATATAACATATATTTAAATCATAAATTTATGACTTATATAGCAACATATTACGAAAAAATTTGGAATGTTATAGACTGGTAGTAGCACACACAAATAGAGTAAAAAAATTAATAAATTTCAAAGTAAAATTATATAATATCGAATCTAATTCAACAATATATTTTAAAAATATTAGAAATTAATGATTTTAATTGTTTGTATGGATAAAGCTGGTTAAGCTATTTGTTATTTGATTAAGGGATTTTTTTTTCAATTTTTAAGGGTAATATCTTCAACTAAAGACGAATTGTAATCATTTGACGTATCGTTGATAAAAGTAGGTCAAGTGAAGGTTGGCAAAATCAATCGTAGCCACAAAAAAACCACATAGTAAAATAATATTAACATGAATAAGAAATTTCTTCTCACAAGGGGAGACTATAGTGATGGGATCTTTGATATTTATTGAAGTTACTGAATCTAAATGAGATAAAAATCAAATGATTTCAAAATTGTTTTCTAACTCAAAAAATATGCAAAATATTAAACGCCACAGGCGGATTTGAACCTCGTACCCTAAGTGTGAAAGATACTAGTGTTACTGATTCGACATCTGTTCATTGCTTTCGTCGCGTTATAAAATTAGCTATTTAGCTAATTTTATATGAATAATATTCATGAAAGTCAATGTATTCCTCTTTTAAGATATTTTAAAATAAAATAAAATACAAAACCCAGAATTTTAATACAAAAATAGCATATTTTTGAATACGGTAGTCATTTGCGCATAGAAGATAGGTCGTCGGGACAAATTTTTTTTTCATTTTATAGTATATGACATAACCTTTGATTTGATATATGTTTAAAGGACGCAGTATTTCCGGAACTTTTTCAAAAGTTAAGATGAAAAAGTTTTATTTTTTATACAATGTTTCAAGTTTTGAACGCCCCCTATATATGGGGAAATTGTCCAATTTTAATAAAAAGTATGTCAAATNAATTAAGATGAAAAAGTTTTATTTTTTATACAATGTTTCAAGTTTTGAACGCCCCCTATATATGGGGAAATAGTCCAATTTTAATAAAAAGTATGTCAAATGAAAGATGTACTTATAATGTATTAAAAAAAAAAAAATTATTCTGATACATACATTTTTCGAAAAATTATAGCATTTTAAAGTTGAAAATTTTAACACAAAATTAGCATTTTTTTTAACTACGGCATGTAGAAGATAAAGTGTCGGGACAAATTTTTTTTTTCTTTTTATAGTACATAAGCTTAGAAAATTTCGTCGTTTTATGTGTTTTTATTTTTGCAATTAAATTAGATATATTTAATTTCAATTTTTTATGTTTTCCAATTTTTCGATATATTCATTTTGATCTCAAAATTATGATATTACTTTAGGAAATGATATATCTTAACAAACCTTTCTGGAAAATACTTGTAAAGTAATTAAGAATAAGATTAAACTTGTGGAGAACCCAAATTCCAAATTAAAAAAAAAATAGTTCCTTTAGTTTACTCATTAATTTAATATAACTCTCTAACAGTAAAAATATTATTGAAATTAAACAATGCTCATATTTAATAGTACTATTGTTTCTATAGATTTTTTTTCTGTTATTATATTAAAATATATTTTAAAGACAAGAATTTAATTATTAATAACAAACGTGTAGGGATAATTTTTTACTCAAACTAGAGTCAAATTATATGACAATGGAGAGATGCTTTACATACGTGGATCAATAAAACTTGAAATTTAGTAAGATAAAAATTATTCTCTGTTAGGTAAAGGGTTAAATGACAATTTTAAGAACACTGTCAAACAGAAATTATTTTTTTGCTTGTTTAATTTAAAATTTCCTAGGGACTATATTTGTATGAAATTTAATAAAAGCATATATGTAGTGCCATTTTTTTTACATAACTTATAGACATATATAATTTTTAAATGTATTGAAAAAACTGACCAGTAATTACTTAGATCATAACTAATAATTTGATTTTAATCGAAAATGAGAATAGTAATCTTTCAAGAATCATAAGGCTAAACTAACATTAACGTTAAAATTAATAAAGCTATAGGAGTATTTGACATAAGGGATATAACAATTTTTAAAATATAAGAAAATAATCTGGGGTACTAATGAAATGAGTTATACATCAACTAATAATATTTTCTCAAATAATATAAAAAAACACTTACATGTTTATCATTATATTTTAATTCTAGTTTAATATCTATTGATTAAGAAAATAATAATTTTTTTAAGTTAAGTTCATAAAGAATTAAGCTAAATCAAGAAAAAAAGTTATGTACAATAAGGCATTAGAATAAGTGGTTTTTGGTAAAAAATACATATTCCTATTATACTCGTGGTTTAAGTTGGCATTTTTTTACTGATAAAATTATGTTAACGATATTTTGATAAAACATATTTTTATCGTATTCCTTTTGGTTAAGTAAAAATTAATTTCATCTAATAATTCATTAATAAATATATATTTGATTATTCAAATGTTTTAATACTTAATATTTAGGAATAAAAAAATGTCGTCTAGATCAGTAGAAAAGAAAACTACTAATCAGAATTCTATTTGGAATACTTTTAAAAAGGCTACCACCAAAAATTCTGAATGGCCAGATAAAGTAATGTGTTACATTTAAAAATAAAATGTATGCGTTATACAATAAATAATTTTTTAGGATGAATTTCTTGATGTTATATATTGGGCAAGACAAATAATTGGCATTCTTGCAGGTGTTCTATGGGGTTTATTACCTCTTAAAGGATTATTTGGTTTGGGAATGTAAGTTAATGTAACTTTTTATTAAGTTAACACTACCTATACTATGACAATTTTTTTTGTATTTTCCTTAGTTTTGTCGTATTAAATGCTGCTATAGTATACACATATTTTACTAATTTTCAACAAATTGATGAAGAAGAATTTGGTGGAGCATGGGAACTAACTAAAGAAGGATTTGTTACCTCACTAGCCGGATTTTTAGTATGTTATGTCTATAAATATTAATAATTTATATAAATTAGATATATTTTTTGTCAATGTTTCAAATGCAATATTATGTTGTTTAAAAATTAAATTTTGATAGGATGTTTCTATTTTTTATCAAATTAAGAAAATTTCTGATGAATGTAATCAAAATCACAGTTTGGGATGTTTGTTTAAGTTTAATTTTTTTTTATTTATTAGTTGTTTCATTTTGAGTCCCAATACTTCTTTTCTGCTACAATTCAGAATTCAGTCAAATTAATTTAAAAATACTGATATATAGTAATGCTCATTTTTTCTTTTCAGGTTATGTGGATTATAGTTTATACTGGAATGCATTTTGACTGAATAAATTGAAATACTTAGGAAATACAATATAATTTTATGAAAACTACATTTTTCATTTTTAAAGAATAAATATTTATTATTAGCAAAATGCATTATATTCTATGAATAAATTAATTGATCAATTTTTGATAAATTTAGTTCCTTTTGGTAAAAGTTTTTTATCCAATATATTCTTAATTAATTTTTCTTCTTTGGATAATTTTTCTGCATATCGTTCTTTAGCTAAATCCAAACTTTTACTGAGTTCCACTATTTTTTTCTAAAAATAACAAATATTATATAATATATGTATTTTACAGTAGTAGTAACATATAAATGATACTACAGGTGTGACATGAGAACCTATCATATTCAAATCAGTGTAACTTTTTATCAAATAAAATTTTTTGTATGAAATGAAGAGTGTCACAAATTTTTATTTTTAAAACAGCATGAAATGTTACCACAATGTTATTTTTTTTTTTAAATTATTTCACATAGATGCGCACTTTAAGTTTTTACATAAATCTTGGCTAATTTGCGATCATTCTTTTGGTCAGTTAATGAAAATTTTGGATGATATCTTTTTGATATTTTCTTGGAGTTGAGCCAGATTCCTTGACATAAGTTTCAGAATTAAAAAATTTGTAAAATTCTGCATATTATCATAGAAAAAAATTCCGTGTAATAATTTGCTGAGAAAAGCTATGATGATTTAAAATATAATAAATTCCCACGTCACACTCTGTACAAATACTTGAATAACTAATAGATTATTAAAGTTAAAAAATTAAAACTATACAGATTGGTTCACTTATCATGAACCATTTAATTAAAATCGAACCAATTTATAGTAATGACTGGACATGAAGAGTGGGTGCTGCTATATTTTTAACTAGACATTTCCCAGACATACTATTCCTTTTACTTACAGATAAATATGTCAATAACTTCTGAAATACTGGTCCAAAAGTTGTTATTTTGAAAAATTATATAACTATATAATAAGTATGTATGTGTTTAGCGTTGATAATGGTAACATTGTTTCCAAAATACGTATCCGCGACTTTTCATTAATTTTTTTGTGGCTTTGAGTTTAATATTTTTAATATTTTTTAGTTTTTTAAATTAATAATATTTTTAATATAGTTTTAATTTTACTTATATAACTATATACAAGTAAAATAAATCTTAATAAGAAGTTTAATCATAATGAAAGGTTGAAGACGCCCACTATTAGACTTAAAATTATACATGATGAATAACATAATTTTTCTTATCAAAATATATTGAACACTCCACAATAAATATATAATTAAGTCAAATGATTCATCTTAGGGCGGTGATCAAATTTAGAACAGTTAAATATCAATTATAATTTTAGTTGTATCAAACTCTAGCACTAATATAATGTTTACAAGTATTGTTAAGGTACACAAAAAATAAGTTATGAAATGTGTAAAATATATTAGTACACCAATATTAAAGTTGAAATTTGATTTCTATCATTAATTTTTATTTTATGAATTAAGTCTTTCAAAATATTTAAAACTTCATTTTAAGGTGATAAGAAATCTGAGAAAAAATGATATTAATTAGTTTGCTAAAGAACATTGGTATCTGCAAGGATTCAAGTCAAGAACAGAAATAAATTGAACTGGCTCATGACCCTTCTTAAATGGTCTATATTTTAAAGAATATTCAAGGAACTTAAAAAATAAAATTTTATATACTCAGATTGAAAATTTGTATATAATACTATATGGCTATTTTACCTTAGGTAAATTGGCATTTTTTTATTGAGTACCAAATGTAAATAATTCAATTCAATAAAAATAGATCAGATGGGTTTAGTGAGTAATAATCTGTTTCATTTTGTATAACTATGTTAGAAAATAATTCTACCAATTTTTAAATTTTGAATTATTATTATAAAATCTCATCTGACAAACAAAAATTTGAAAATTTCCCTTATTTTCAAGATATTAATGAGTTATGAGTAAATTATAACATGAAGTATTTTTTTTATATTACTCACAGCATATTCTCTTTGTTGCAACAGTTTTCTTTTACGCTTCATACCAAAAGGTGTTGGCCGGCCATCAAGGAATATATAATCTACACCATCTGTTAATGTTCCTCTGTCCATAGGATTCAGAGGAAGTTTTTTCCTGTTATAGTTATTTCAGTAATAATAATATACATTTTAATTAATAACACTAAATTTCTATTTCTTTATTCTAACTTACGATCTACGCCATGTTAAATCTAAACACAGAGTTTGGTTTGTTGAAAAAAATAAATGTGAACTTATTGAAGAAAGATTCTTGATTTGTGTGTTTAGTTTACTTATACTGTTAAATAAAAACATGTTTGGTAAATAATAAAATTTACCTTATAATGAAAAAATCAAACTGAATATTATCTACGTAATATTACAGTTGTATATAGATAGATAACAAACAGAATAGATAAAAGACTAACTATTCTGTGCTAATAGTACCTTTAATTGATTATTGCTTGTTTTGGTTAAAACTAACGAATTTCTATGTGATAATAAATCTATACTATAACACATACTTCAAATGCCAACTTTATTATTAAATAAATTAATAAATTCAACAATTTTTTTTTTAATTAGTTAGTAGTTAGATATTTTGAAATTATTAATCTTACAGTTACACCTACAATAAATAATTTATAATTAATTAAATCAAAAAATAATTATGATAAATTTATAAAAATGGACAATGCTAGCACTGATACACCTATGATCATTTTTAATAATAAAGAACTATTATTAAATTGTAAGTTTATTGTTTTTATTTATGTAACTTTTTTATTGCAACGTTTTTTTGTAGGTACTGTAGTCAGAGAAAATTTAAATTCAAATGTAATAAATAATTCAGTTAAACCAGCAAATTTAAATATACTCACTAAGTATGCACCTGGAAAGACTTTATTACTATCAAATAGTAATAACCAGCAAAAAAGAAAAGGTAAAGTACGCTTCAAATGCTTACATTGTGACTACTTAACTTTCAAGAAACAAAATTTAGTACTACATCTTCAGAAAAAACATGAGGTAATTTGTTAGAAATAGATCATTTAAAAAAATAAATATATATTTGAATTGGGTTGTTTTATTATTTTTTATATTATTGTAAAAATAATAATTGAATATTTATATAAATTATATCTAATATAAATGTATATAAAAATAGAGGAGTAATTAGTAGCAACTATAGCTTATTTTTTTTGAAATATAAACTTAATTGGTATATACATTAAATATACTAACAATTTTACAATATAAAATCACTATTAATTAATATTTAACTAATGAAGTTTTTCATAAATATATATAGGGGGTTTAGTAAGTAAGGAATTGGGTTTTTATTGTTCTTATTGTTTGTAACAATTGACCTGTTTCCTTACTTACTGAACACTCTGTATATATATTTTCTTTCATTGTCACTATTAATCGCGATCACGGTTCTAAGTTATACATTTAACGAATAACATTATATGTAAAATTCATCTATTTTGTCATACTCTCAAAATCAGGTTAATCACATTATTTGAAATAAATTTCTAGCTAGATAATATCTATTTATTTTTTATTTTAAATTATCTCTAGATAATAAGATATCTCTAGTATATTTTAAGCATATAATAAAATATTAAATAACCATTTATAAAATTTACCATAGTCTAAAAACAAGAGGGTATAATTTTAAGCTTAAGTAAGGTAATTCCCTATCTAGTTATGCCAATTAAGTTGAACTAGATACAACTCTTATAATTTTTTAAAACAGTTTTGTGCATTTTTATATGACATTCCAAATATATTTTTATTATTTATTTCTAATAAAAATTAAAAAAAAATTGTTTATTTTAGTAACAATAATAATAGTAGTTTTTAGCTCTTTTTTTTAAATAAATTTTAATTGTCATAATAACTGCAGCAAAAGTGCCTTTTGAGTTATAAGCATTTTAATTCGTTAAGTGGGTATGTAGCACAGGTGATTTATACATTCACCAATACCCAATCGTACAAAACTTAAAATTTAATTATTTTTTCTTATAAGAGACATAAATAAAAAATATCTTTTTAACGCAGTCAAATAATATATATGTAATGATCTACTTAACACTACAATTTATTAAAAAATTTTATTTATATTATGTTATTGAAGACTAAAAAATTACAAGAAATTGAAAATCACGGTATGAGAAAAACTATTGAAGTATTTGCATGTGCTATTTGTAAGATGACTTTTGGTACCTTAGAAAAATGCCAAGAACATTCATTACAGGTGTAACATTAATTTTAATTCCTTTTTTATCTAATCTAGTAATTGTACTCTGTGTTTATTAAACATTTTAAGTATACTTATATTTTTTGTCCTTTTACTTAGTGTAAAATAAAATATTCATAAAAACAATTTAGATAGCTTACATTAGAATACATTTTGATAGTTTATGCTCTTATTTTAACATGAATAACTTAATTTGATGATGAACAAAATACATTTTTATTTTTAGTCTTTACTGTTATTTAATCAAAAATTAATTTTATTTTTTTAGCATACATATAAAGAGATATACAATAATTCTAGTAAAAATCAACCGAGTAAGATTATTACCACTAATAAAATTAATTATGAAGATATTGAATATATTGCTAAGTATGTATAAAATAATGAAAGGTCTATATTTAAAAAAACAAATCATACTTTGTAATCATTGGTCTAAAAAAAGTCTATAAAGAAACTATAAATTTTTGAAATAAAAGTATATTATCATAGATTTTATTATTTGAATAATTTCTTAACAATTTCTACATACTAGAAGCTTCTACATTTAATAATTAGTTATAGTATGATAAGAAATTATTTTTCCTTACATAGATTAACACTTCTTATATGGATTGTAACATTATAATACATTTCTATGCATAAAATAGTAATTCCAATGGATATTTTTATTAATAAATTCTATTTAAAAAATAATAAATAATTTAATATTCTTTATTAGATGTGAATATTGTAAATGTAAATTCAGATCAGAAAATTCAAAAGCACTTCATTTATTATGTCATTCAAATGATAGTAAAGACTACAAATGTAGTGAAAAGGATTGTAATTTTGTAACATCAAGGTGGAATACTTGTAGGACTCACTTGTGGAAAAGTCACAAAATTAATATTGATATGTTTAAGTGTCACGTATGTTTAATATGATTAATAAATTATAAAAATATGACTTATATTACAAAAAAAACGTTTATACTTAAATATAAACACATTTATTAATAATAGGTGTATGATTTGTGAACTTTTAAAAAAAAGTTATTTTAATAAAGCCAAAAAAATGTATTTTTATTAGAATTTTAATTTTTTTTTTTCTGCATTATTTTATTACATACATTAATATATGATTAGTAGTGTAAGCTTTAAAATTAATATTTCTTATTTATTTATTAATACAGGTTTGCAAAAGATATGTGACTACAACTTATCATAATCTAGTGAATCACATATCAATGAAACATGGTAAAACTCTTACTTGTGTTGACTGTGGTGCTAAATTTGAGAACTCCATCCAACTACAAAATCATAGAGTATTTCATTCAAAGGCAAAATGTACTAATAAAGAAAGATGGTAGGCTTAGAAAATTTAAAAAATATATATATTATTAGTGCAAGTTAAAAATGAGTCAAATTGATATCATAGATATTTTGGTGGGATTTAGTGTGCTATTAAGAGAAAGTAAAATGTTTAAAGTTAAATGAAATTTTTTGCTCTTATTCTAAAAGAGTTGAAGTATAAATAGTTACCAAATGTGATCTCATGTTTAACCATCTTATTACACAACCCTCATTCAGGGATTAAATATTGAAATTACAAAAGAAATATTTAAAAAGTTATTTAACAAATGGAAAAATTAATTAAATAATGAATTGACTTAACTATTTTGGTTGAATTTAAGAAATAAAACTTAACTAAATTATAATATAATTAATTTGAGTGGTTGTTAAAAAGAATTAAGTTGATAAATTTTGAATTTCCAAGATTTTTAAATTTACATAAAACACAAAAACTGAATTTTATAACTATAATAAAAATATTTGGTCACTTTTAAAATTAAATCAAAAAATTATATCTTACACTTTACCGATTAAATGATTTGTCAGTATTATGTTTCATTAATAAATTTTTGAAAATATAACTCAATTATTTTTAATTTTTAAGTTTAGTTTATAAAAAAAATATATAATAATTACTTTGTTGTTCATATCCTATTTATTAATGTTATATAAAAATATTATTAAATTATTTTGCTTAGGTACACGGAAAAAACTTGTTCAATATGTCATATGACATTAGCAAATTCAAAAAGTTTAAAACTTCATACAAAAAATGTTCATTTAAAATTGAAACCTTATGTTTGTCAAGTATGTAATCACAATTCAGCTACAAAGCACATGATGCAAGTTCATATGCGTCAGCATACTGGTGAAAAACCATTTTCATGTAATGCACCAAACTGTAACTTCAAAACAGGTACAATTACACCACAATAAGTTTATAATATAAACTTGAAACTGAAAACTGGTATATTTTAATATTTCAGGTGATCATAATTCACTGCGACGACACAAACTTCGTCATTCTGAAGACAGACCGTATAAATGTTTACATTGTGACTACAAGTGTATACAAGTAACAGCACTCAAAAGTCATATAACAAATAACCATCAAAATATAATAGGCAGTTCTTATTTTCTATGTAATCAGTGTACGTTTGGAAGTGTTAGTTTGAAAAGATATAATGATCATTTGATAAGTCATGATAACAAAACTCAAAATGGTAATAATTACAAATAGAGTACAATATTCATATCTTAAGAAAGAAATTTAGAATTGTATGATAACTGCTAATACTCTTTGTTTATTTAGGTGTAGAAGTTAGTCCTGTTAAACACCATGATAGTAAAATTGATATAACTGATGATGATGATACAGCACAAGGTTTTGTTGATGATACAGGTGGTATAACTATTTCAGAAAGTACTACGTGTATTGTGTTAAATGCAGATGATAATGCAATTATGCTCACATAAAAATGGAATTTTTCATTGAACTCTAAAAAATTACTCCATTTAAAATCAGTAAAATATTGTTTAAATATATATGAAAATATGTCATACAAGTTTAATATGTTTTGTTCTTACAAAACTTTTACTTGCAAATTATCACTACTAAATGTTCTTTCATTAAATTTTTATTTGAAAAAAAAAAAACTTTCTGTTTAAATAATTATTTAACATGATAATTTAATGAATCAATATTAACATTGAGTCAGATATTCTAAGTATACTTAGTGTAAATAGATAAAATTTTATTCTTTTGATTATTAGTCTAATAAATAATAATTATTTATCATTATAAGACTTGACTTAAAATTAATAAATTCATCATTGAGAATAAGAATTTCAAGGCAAAATTATGTGAGAATTGAAAACATGATATGGTAAACCATATATTACTTTTTCAATATATATAATTTTTTTATATACCATAATGAATTAAATTTTTTGTATATAGAATGAGACATTTCCCAATACAGGATTTTTAAAATATGATTATTAAAATAATATTTGGTAAAATATTTTCTAAAACGATATGTAATTTTTAATAATAAAATAATCATTAATTTGTTTTTAATAGTAACAACATGCCAGTTTATTATAAATGTTATAGTTTTATTTAATGCTTATAATTAACAATTTCCTATAAATAAGTAAAATTTTAATTAACTGGAATAAGTATAAGTTAAATTATAATATATAAATTAAAAACAAGAAATTTAATAGATATACTAAAATGTAATAAAATTTTTAATAGTTTTCATTCATAATAAATTATAACTGTGCAAATAAAAATAGAAAAATTGACATTTTAATATTAATTAATAGCACAATTATTGTAGTCAACACACAAACACAAAAAAAAAAATTATATTTTGAAACCATATAAAACATTTTATCACAGATAAGTTACTAATATTTGAAGTGTAGGAATGTATGTGCAAATGAAGGTGCTATGCATCCCGTTAGTATTTTGTAAATGTGATTAATATTTTAATCTAAAATGCAATGAACTAATGAAATTATTTTTTTAAGTATTAAAAAGACCCCAATTATGGTTTATAAAAAAAACTTTGTGTTATTGAAAAAAAATACAAATTTTTAAATTCTTATTTAGTTGAGCTGATAAATTTTAGCTATAAGATACTTAATATATCTAAATGTAATGTTATATCATATTAAATTATGATAAAAAGTTTTACAACTTTTAGTTTTATAAACAATAAACAATTACATAAACTTTATGCATACAAACCCAGTCTGTAAATTTTGGCAGATAGAAAATTATGCAATATGAACACTAGTGGCTTTGGGTTACATTCTAGATCCAATTCCTACAGAAATATTGATTTTGATTTATTAAATAACATTATTAGTTATCCTGGATAACAATAATTACTTAATTTAATCATTCTATACTTACTATTTCAATGTTATCACCAAAATCTAGCCATAAAAGTCTATTGTTATCATCTGAAGACATTTTTAACTTTTCAAAAGAATAACTCCATAGTTTTTTAGGTTCCCGTCCAACAGAACCTGTTGTTGACTCATAAAGAGTGAAGCCATTCTCATAATGAATTAAAAGTTGAGATGGTTTTCCTTTCCATAAACATCCTAAAACAATTTCAATTAAAATAATTTAATTTCTTGATTTTCAAAACTAAAATTAAATTAAAAATCAACATAACATTTATCTAAACTAATAATCATAGAAACAAAACAGGCTAGATTATTATATACATATACATAATTGTATATAACTTAAGTTTTTTATTATGATGTATTGTAATGTACCAGTGGGAACCATATCAAATTATAAAAATATTGCTAACTAAAATAATTTTTCTGAGATATCCCACTGCCACCAAATTTTCAAATGATTTTTTATTCATCCCATCCTAATAAAATTTTTTATTTACTGTGAAAATAAATCCATTAATATTTAATCTACCAATACTATTTAAAATTAATACTTACTACAAGCAAGTTCTTTTCTGTTAGTAACTGAATTATGACAACCATGAATAATGGCTCTAGCCCAACTTGCAAGATCCCTTTGTGTTTCTACTTTGAGTCTATGAGTGATGATTCCTTCCTCTGTTCCACAACGAATACTAAATGTAATTATTTCAGAGTTACGGGAAGAATTCATAAGCCTTGTTGACAGTAATGGACATACAAATGTAGGTGAAGACCAAGCATCTGTACTCCATGGAGCTACATCATATAAACGAAACTCTTTACTAGTGACTACACCAAATACTGGTTGCCATTTATCATTTGTAGAAAAATCTTCGTCTGAACTTATACTATGCAAACAACCATTCTAAAAGGAAAATTATATTTTGGTTTTAATATTTTAAATCAATAACAATATTATATTTATAGTGAAAGGAACTTGAAAAAACTGTTGAATAATTAATAATCAAAAAATGTAAAACACAAAAATAACTAACAATCAATATATAATTTAAGCAGATTGTTATACTTTGTACATAATATAGATTCTAAAATTCTGACAAGCAAACAAATTGTATAACACATTTTCAAAATACATCCATGTTAAAAAATAAATTTTCTCGTAAAAAAAAAAAATATCATTCTTAATGATTCATGTCCAGATTCTTTTCATAACCTTACATAATAGTAATGATTATAAAAATCAAAATTAACTCATAAATAGTATCTGTTTTTGTTTTTACATAGACTTAAGAAAACATACCTCATTACGATTAATCTTAAAAAGCCAACTGAGATGATGAAGTTGACCTAATGAAGGAAGTAAATTTGTTAGAACTTTGTTTGCATCTTGTAAAGCTTTTAAAGCAAGAGCATTTAAAGCACCATGAAGAGTATGAATCCAAAATGTTGCTTCATTAGTCTCATGAGCTCTTAAAATACAAGAATGAATACCATCTGGAGAGTGTAGTTCAAATGTTTTATTTTCTGAAAGAATTAATTTATAAATAAATATTGATTTTTAGGGGTCATTAAAAATATCTACATAATACCATTGTCAATGTGTTTATAGTTTCGTGTTAAGCAACAAAGTTGCAATGGTATATAACGAGAATCAGATTTTTGAGGAGAACGATGAGGAGGTAGACTAGATGATAAAAATCCTTTTTGTAGTTCCCATCCAACTTCTGATATGATAGTAGCTTTTCTAAAATAAGGAGTAACTTCTCGCAAATATTTAACTGAAAATAATAACACATTATATATTAGTATAAAATTTTAGTTCTGACTTAATAAAAGTTATAATTAATTATTTATATTGTATTTAAAATTTTAAGCATAGATTTAGTAATAAACGTTTTACTAATAAGAATTTTATTTTATTATTCATTATTACATTTATACTGTAACTCTACCTTCTAATTCAACTATTTTTCCAGCTTGTTTAAGTGCTTTAACTGCTTCATCGTGTGTCGCTTCCCTTAAATCTTGCTTATTGACAGAAAGAATAGCATCACCAACATAAAGCTGTTCAGTTTGATCAGCAGCCATACCTTTAAATATTTTTGATATAAGAATTGGCATTTTATTTTCACGTCCTCCTTTAATCGATATGCCCAGTCCATTGCTATCAGTTTTAACTACACGTATTAGTCGTTTTTGATTTGCTACAGAATCTGGTACATCAACACAGCCAATTAATCCACTAGAAGAATCTGAAATATTGATATCAATTAGTAAACTATAAATTAATGTTGAATTCTATAAGACACACCTAAGGTGTTATTATTAAGTGACCCATTGATTGATGAATAATTTTCATAAGTTTCATCTAAACTAATACACAGATAATCATCATCCAGTGAAATGTTAGCATTATACCACTGACCACGGATATATATTTCTAGTGTAGTAGAACATCCATAATTAACTGTAGTCATTTTGAAAAATATGTTGAAAAATTGTCTACATTAAGATTGTACTTTTAATATCATGTAGGCAAAGTATTTTTAAATTTAATTGAATAAAAAATTATGCTTGATTTTGAATTACAATAACACATAATTCACACTTAAAATATAATGATATGAAATAAATCACTTATACAATAAGTTAAGATGAAGTGTCTACTACTATCCTTCCATAATATTTAAAACTACATTAAAACAACAAGTTAATACAATAATAACACAAAACAAAATTATAATCACTAATACGTTTCACACTTGTCCCAAAACTTAAAGGACAATATGACATTACAATTCAAAAAGTTTATCGTTTATAAGGTATTTAGTGAATTGTATCCAGACGAAATTAATATTTACAAGAACACTGTTAGGTACAACTCACTATACCAGTCCTTGCTTACTTGGCTTATAACATAAATATTTTAATAAGAATATATTATTATCATAAATGTGAAATTTAGATAATATCTTAAATGAGACATAAGTAAATAAACAGTGTTGCCATTCGAATAGTTTAAATTACAATGCAAGCCAATGAGTAACTGATTCTCGGTTATCAGTATCGTACTCATGAAAACGGCTTCATATATAATAATTCTTTCAATAAAACATTCTAAAATCGTATAAAATATAATTTATGACATACTACTGTACTGTTTCAATTATCCAAAAAATCGTTTTTACTCATATATACATAATAAAGTACATTATGCACGTTAGATCCTACGGCTTATCACCAGGGTTGCACGGTGATTTTAAGTCGAGTACCCGACTATGCCATGCATGGTTAATATTTCGGGGCCAAATAATAAAGCTTATTTTAAACTTATATAAGTAATTCAAAAAAACTTTCAATTGAAATAATCAAAAAATAACCATTTAAAATACATGCACATGTACTTACTCGTTCAAAAATGAACGGATTACAAAATAATTTTCAAGGTACCTCTCGTAAGTCAGTACATCAACAAACGCTAGCGGCAGTGAGCATTTTCGAAAAACATTTATTAACACTGGCGAAGTGCAAAAAATGTTTTTTCATTTTAAAAATAACTGTCTGTTTTTTTTGGAGCTTTGAATAATAAAAAAAAATTAAAAATTAAAGTTCAAGTAATTTTTCCAGCGTAGGAAAATTTTCTTTGTTTTATTATATAAAAAGATTTATGAAGCTAAATGTATAATAAATATAGTTTAAAAAACTAAAAAAATACGCTTTTAAAGTACATCAAACTAAAGAGTTAAAAATAATTTTTAAAATAAGCTTAAAACAATAATGAACGAAAAATACTAGTATTATTGTGAAAAAAATCGTCGGGCACTCAATATACGAAAAATATAGCACAAAGCACCCCCCACGCTTTTTAAACTATATTTATTTTTCACTTTTTAGTTTTTTATGACATCGCTGTCAGTTACGAAGTGTTTATTGTCAATTATGACTATCAATAGATATAATTTCTGTATTGACAGTTAGTGTGTTTATAAACTCACAATTGTGTCTTACTACTATTAATAATAAAGGTTATATACCTGCGAATATCACCACAAAAAACCAATTAGCTACCTGTATTTGTAATCCCTTATGTATAATACATAAGGGATTACACATTATTATATTAGCTCAAAAAAATTAAAACTTTAAATGTTTATATCTCATAATAAACAATAATAATTTGTTTATATATAAAATTGATGACACACGCGTATGTACGGGTACGAAAACCAAAAATAAAATTATATAGGAATAGTGTTTGCCATCGATTGGTGAGCGGGGTGGAGTGAATGCATTACGACAGACTAGTCTCAAGGCCATAGACGACGAGATACGTGACAATAACACGTAGCGAGTGGAGTTACAAACTTACAACAAACATACATGTGAAACTAATATAAGCGTGTTAAAATAGACTACTATTCGTGTAATTGATTCTGTACTACAATTGTAGTACATAAACTTTATAGCCTTCTATTTATGTTTTTAAATTTTACTTCCTAAAACCTTGTAATTGAGGCATTTCCTAAGACATTTTATAGAAAATTATTGCTAAACGATTTTAATTCTTAATGTGAATCACTTAATTACTTAAAAGATATTTCGTATATTTTTATTTAGGAATAAATTTGAAGGATTTTTTTCCTCCACTTATAATTAAAAATATCTTAAAAATAATATTGAGAGCTAGATATAAAAAAAATATGACATTTAACTAAGAATAATAATAATTATTTACACAGATTTTCTTATAATTTAAAGACATTGCATTCTAAATGGATAAGGAAAGGAGTAGTTGATTATTCACATTTCTTTTATTAAAACTTATACATAAATATGAGAATTGTTCAAATAGTTGTATTTTTTATAGTACAAATAAATGATTACATTCTAAGACTGAGACGTAAACTTATGTTACATTACAAAATTGATAATTAAAAAACAATAAAAAAAATAAGATCATAAGTACAACAATTTTTACTACATGCTTTAGCATCAATAAATAAATAATAGTATTCATTTACAAAATAAAAAATCACTTAATAAATAAAAACATTCAGTTCATATAACATTTTTTGTGGATTCAACTCGCTATTCAAGTCTCATTAATAATATCTTATGAAATTTTTTTAATGTTGCATAAAGTTTGAAAGATAATAATATTTTTTCTAGGAAAATCTAATTTTTATAAATTAATATTTTTGATAAAAAGTTAAAATAATGTATTTATTAAGAAGTTTTAATAAAAAAATATGTTATTATTCAAGCAAATTGATAATTTATACAAGTAAATTATTCTTCTGCAAATTTATATACATAAAAATATTGTATAAATACAAAATATTTGTGTTTAAGTAGTTTTAAGACTAGAAATCCAGTTATTTTTAAGAATATTTTTTGATCATGTAAAAATTAAGATTGTATTATTATTTAAAAACATTTAAATTCAATGAACATTTATGTATAAAAATTGTAATTTTTACATGTTTATATAAATATTATATATTTATTTATTCATTAAGTTAATTTTATTTTTTTTAAATGAATATTTAAAAATTGTTCTAATGAAGATTTTATAAAATAGTATACATTTCTAATACTGTTATTTATTAAAAAAAAAAAACACTTAAAATTACTGAGCAATAAATTTGATTCAATTAGTAAAAATGTTTGTTTAAGTATTTTAATAATACAATATTTTTGTAAAAATATTACAAGCAAAAAATTGATTCCACAAAAATTTTCTTTCCACAAATGGAAAACTAAACACTTATTCTATAGACTAGAAGTAAAAGAACAAAAATACTAGAAGGCAAGATTATTTACGTTTACTCGCTTTTTCAGCTAATTTTTCTGCTTTTCTTTGAAGGCGTTCTTTTTCCTTTCTCTCTTTTTCTGTGTGTCGTTTTTCTTTATCTGCTTGTGATTTGAGGTCTTTAAGTTTACGCTTTAATCGATTTTTATCATCACCAATAATACCAAAATTTTTATAATCTTTAGTATCTAAGTTAAGCAGTCCAACCCCAGAAACCTGGTGTTCCATAAACTTAGCAATATATTGTTCTAGACCCAATGCCAAAAGCCATTGACAAACCTAAAATTAAAATAATGTTAATGCAAAAAAAGAATGTTTTATAAGTAACTCAATATATTTTATAATTATTATTAAACTATAAACGTAATTTTTTTTATTTTTTATTTTAATTATTTAACGCCAAACGGCAATTTACAGGAATAATATTATGGTAACCTAAATATATAACATAATATAACAAAAAGAAGAGAAAAAAAAATAATAATAATAATATACATGCATATATATAAAACATAGAGTAAGAAACTATGACAACAAAATAATGATGACAATAAATTAAGATTTATAGGATAAATATAATATATAATTAATATAAGACAGTTAAATTTTTATAAAAGTAAGTGTGACCAAAAAACTAAGTATTATTGAGAGAGCGTAGCATTCTGTGTATTGGATTATTATTATTAATAATAATAATCTAGGTATGAAGTATGATGAGAGGGAACATGAAAGGGAAAGTGATTTCTAGTGGGATAGGATGGAACACGAAAGGATATAGAAGACAAAAGGTCTGGTGCATCAATTAGACCATTAAGGAGAGCATCGATAAATGAACGGTCTGCATCAAATCACCTGGAACTAAGAGTAGGGATATTAAGTGTGGAACGAATAATGGAGTAATCATGAGGGGGGTGGGTAATTTTGAGTAAATAAGCGGCGTAAGATAAAATGCGATTCTGTACTCTTTCAATACAGAGTTGATCTTTAGCTAAATAAAGATGCCACACAACCACTCCGTATTCTAAAATAGAGCGAACGAGTGAAAAATAGAGGGAACGTAAACAATGTGGAGAAGTAAAGAGGTTAGTATGTCGTTTTAAAAATCCTAAAACTTTTAAGGCTTTGCCTACTATAAAGTTAATATGAACGTCAAAAGATAACGAANGTTAATATGAACGTCAAAAGATAGCGAAGGAGTCAGGTGGAATCCCAGGTCAGTTACTTGAAATACACGCTCTAACATGGTACTATCTAGTGAGTAGGAGTATAAAATAATAAATAAACACAGCAATAATACATTGCTGTTTTATATAATAAAGGTATAGTAAACAATATTAAATTATATTTCATATTTTAAAATAAAAATTAAAGCAATAATTCAAAATCTGTGTTTAAATAAAAAAAAAAAATAAATGCATCTTGAATTTATTTCTCATACCTCAATATCATAGGCACAGAAATGACCTTAGCTAAAATACAAATATGAAAACAGTTTGAAATTTACAACAAATATATATATATATATATATTTATTTATTTATTTGTTTATTTTATATATTATCTTAAAGATGGAGGTTACTTATATCAAAGTTACTTAATTACATTCAATCTATAATAACTTATAATAATTTAAAATAACAATTGAATGTTGAAATTCAATGAATAATTCTATCAGTGTATTTATTTTAATGAGATAAATGATATTTTTGGCTTGGTAGAGAATATATGAATGATTAGTTTTGTAATATTTTATTACCACTATTTGATGTACAAATATAATGTATCTGTAAAAACATATGGTTTTAATTTTAAAGATAGGATTTTAAATTCAAACAGTGTTTTTATAAAAAACGCATAATATAACTATACATTAATAATTAATCAATAACTATACATTCAATAATAAATTTTAAAAAAATTACATAAAAGCCGATAGTGAGTTTTTATACCAAGCTAATATTGTGCAATTCTAAAAATGTATAAAATATTCATACTTGTTCTTTAGACCATTCATGAACTGGTGCATTAAGCCAAACATGAGAATTTTTCCTCTCAGAAAAAGAATTATCAGATGATTGCGGAGGTGTCCATAAATCGATAGAATCTGAATAATAAAAATACAACAATGGAATCAAAATTAATTAATTGATGACTTTTATATAATTATAAAAAAACATACCGGATGAACCAGTTGCTTTTGAATTATTCAAATCTGAAACCATATGACCAGGTGAAACACTTTCAGATGAAGACACTGATGAAGGAGAGCTTTGAGATATTTGTGTGGTGTGTTGTTGCCATTGGACATTGGCTTTTTTTACTGAAAATTTTTTTTTGCGGTTAGAAATATTCAATTTGAAACTTAAATACCTTGAACTAACAAAATATGAAGAAACTTTAACATAAATCTAAATCAATTAATTTTGGCTTCCAAAGAGAATTCTTGAGCTATTATTGATATTAGACATAATATATGAATATAAATATATAATAAAAAAAAATTTTAATTTTAGTTGCAATGCAAAGCTGAGAAGGTATTAATTTTACTATGATCTGTTTTTTTTTTTTTTTACATGTTACCACTTTTTCTCAGCTCTCACCGAACCAATATCTTTCAATGATACGTCAAAAGATCACAAATCGTATCTAGTTGAAGACATTACCCTCAAAAATTGAAAAAATTTTCCTCGTTCCTCGTCCGTAAATGGGGAAAAGCTTCAAAAAAGTTACAAATTTAAAAATCGCTAATTTTTGAAATTTTTTCAATTTCTTTTACTTAAAACTGCCATAACTTTTTTTAAAAATGACCAAATCAATATAAATTTTTTTTTTTATATAAATTTGACCCTTTACTCGATCACAAGGGGGGATTCAAAATGACAACTTTTCACAAAAAATTAACTTAAGTTTTGAAAGTGTTCCGGAAACTCTGACACTTTTATACACATCTAAAATTAAAACTTTTGTAATATACTTTAATATTAAAAAAAAAAATTTAGACTTGTACTATCTTCACTGTGAAAACAGACATCAAAGTTAATAAAAAAAAAATATGATTTTTGTAAAAAATTCTTTTTTTATAATTTTAAGTTTATAATGCTATAACTTTTTGAAAAATTTTTAAATCAATACAATTTTTTTGCGATAACTACTATTATTATACTTCTTTTATGCGACAAATTTTTTTTTTAAATCAGACAAATTCCCTTTATGCAGGGGGTTTCAAAACTTAAAAATGCTTATAGAGAGTAGAACTTTTTCAATTTAATTTTTGGAAGTGTTCCGGAACTACTAACACTATTATCAAAATTAAAAAAAAAAAATACGATTTTTGTAAAAAAATTCATTTTTATATTTTAACTTTATAAAGCTAAAACTTTTTGAAAAATGTATGGATCATTATACTCTTTTTAAGATAAGTATATCTTTTTAAGATAGTCAGAATATCAATAAGGAAATGGGAGATCATGTAGCTTTTGGAATAATCCATTATTTTTTTTAAATTAAATATTATCTACAGATTTGCATCAAAGCGTTTTTTATGATAGTAATTTTGATCAATGTCAGATATCATCTATACTGGACCTAACTATGCCACGTCCCCACTGTGCTGGGTTTTTTTAACTTTATATTATTGCTTAATCTTTTGTCTTAGCATCATAGATTTTTAAATCTTAAAATAAGTAATACTTAGTTTTATAAATAATTAAATTAATTTTAAATGATATACAATTTTGACTAGCTTCTCTAATCTCATCAGCAAATGAACTTGTTGAACTATTATGATCAGAAGTATAAACACAATTTGACTCTGATAAACGTGATTCTCGTTCAGCAAGTACAATTTTGAGTTGTTCAGCTAATGATGGTGGAGGTCCATTTACTAGAAATTAAAAAATTAATAATACTTAAAAATATATAATATATTATTAGGAAAATGTACAATTACGACAGTGAGTTGATTGTTGAACTTTAGATAAAAAATGATCAGCATGTTGAACTTGTGATTTTTGAACAGATGCATACTGAGGCATTTGTTCTTGAATATTTAAACTAATGATGTTTGTATTATTTGATCTGTTCAATGGAACTATTGGTTTATTTTCATAAGAGTTATTGGTTTCATCAATGTTGTTGTAATCCTGTTGTATTAAATATATTTATAATATTAATATAATTAAATTTATTTATTTTTATCAAAAAGAATACAGGGATTAAAGTTGTAAAAATAAGAAGATAAGACTACTAGAACTATACTATTTTGAGCATTCCAAGTAGTAATATATAATATGAATAAATCTTAATGGGAATGTTTAAAAATTTTAATGCAAAGCAAGGGGATTGAGGTCTTTTGCGCCCCCTCGCTTTAAATCCTGTTAGATTAATGCAATATTAAAGCTTACCAAACTAGTATTTGATAAAGATTTTCGAAGATTTGTAGGTAATTGCCTTGTAGCAAGACCCCTTGCAGCTAATTCAGCTTTACTTTTTGATAAAGATACATCTAAAAGTTCATGTTGAGGAACAGCATGGTCCAGTTCTTCTTTAATGGGTAATTTTCGTTCAACTGTACCAACTTTTTCATCTTCAAGGTTATCCTCAGTTTCTGATAATTCTGCTCCCAATTGTTGAAGTAATGGTGTCACTGGTGAAGCCTAAATTAAATATAAGTATCTTCAATGATCTAAAAGCGTTTCTCAACCTTCTCATTGAATATTTTATATTTTGAAACATTAAATAAAATGTTTGTGACCTCTTAGTTCCAAAAGTTCCTATGCTTTATGTAAGCGTTTTTTGTTAAACTTTTTTAGAATGGTTGTATAATATCTAGTATTTCAAATTGGTTTGATATAAATTATGGAGATTTTTGTTAATTATTAAGACAAATGTTTTAGTTTTAATTAATTGAAAAATAATAATAATAATTAGTACTCTTACACAATATGAATACTTTAATACAACATTTGTGATGTTGAGACTTTTTGACTAATTTTGATATCAATGTTGAACATAGAGTTTTTAACAACACTGATATTGATGTTTAAATATTAAGCAGCAGTAACTTTACTTACTTTTGCTTTTTTGGCAAGAGGAGTTAAGGTAGATAAGTAATGACTTGTGCTGGTTGTATTTAATGGTAGTTGAACTGGAAAACCTGCTCGACGTTGAGTTTCTAGAAGTTCATGTTCAACTTGTATAACCTATTGAAATAAAAAAAAAAAAAAAAAAGGGTTTTTAAATGGACCAATTTTAAAGCCATAGTAAATAAGGAATTAAGTTAGTAAGCAAATATTTAAAATAAATCATTATTTAAAGTATTATGAACTTATATCATAAAACTTACTGATTACACTTATAGTTTATTTATAAAACATCTCTTAAAATAATATTAATAACATTTAAAATAAAGAAAACACTCATTCTTCATTAATTTATAAATTTATAGTTATTATTATTATTTAAAGGTTTTACAACAACTTTTTTTTTTGAAATTGATATAGTCTAAATTTATGTGATGTTATATTGCAATATTAAAAAAAAAATTTGCTCTCAATATCATGATATATTGATATTGCATGTGAAAAAATCTGATATTAAAAAAAACTAAATTCAAAAATTAATTATAATATTTAAAAGAGTTTTATTTATTTTTTTCTTATTTTATCAAAATCATGTCCAATTGTTTTTTTGTAGATGAAAATATATTAAGAGTTTAAGTTACAAACAGTAGTAGTCTATTTTTACAAGTATTCCAAAAGACACAAACAAAGTTATAAATTTCTATTCATTTAATAATAATAATAAGAAAACTATACATTTTAATACTACCATAATAAAAATATTTTTCACCAAATGGATTTCATTACTGGGCACTACTGTCAATGAGCTATTGAATGTAGCCAAAAAAATTTAGTCCACCACGAGAACTTGTAAACGAAGCACAAAATGTACATAATTAACCATCTTGTAATGCTAAATACAACAACCAAGGAAATCATTTTTACCAAGCATATTGAAATTAAAAATTTTTAACTCTTTAGTAGTCTATTCCACAAATATATGATGTTACTGGAAACTTGAAATTTATTTCTGGTATCCACAATTTATTTAATACATCAATAATTTTATTTTGTGAAAGTATTTTGTTGCAAAATAAACTAATATTATAATTATTATGAGACAATGACAAAGACGAATTTAACAATCTTATTTAGTTATTTTCATTATATAGATGGATATTTAGTAGATAAATTTTTTTTCCAACATATTTATTTGGACTTCATTAGACATTTCAATAGATTTAGAAAAAAAAATTTGAATAAATGATTGTTTTTACATGGAATTAAAAAAAATATATTACCCAGTAGTTACTATTTACTTAATTACTTTTCTTATAATTTTATTGAAGAAATACTGTTAAATGTTGTTAATCAAATAAATGTTAACGGAATTTAGAGAAATAACAAAAATAGTGTAATAATCAAATAAAACTGCATAAATATATCTGTGAAAAAATTAATAATAAGTTTGAAATATTTCATTTACAATAACAAGTGTCCAGATCTATGCATTTTGCTCAATAATTAATGCACACAACAGCTGCTGGAGTGGGTACAGACCTGTTGGACCACCTAGTAAATCCGCCACTGGTGATCTCAAAATATACTACTAATAAATTCTTTTAATAATTGTGTTACTCTACAAGATTTGATGAATAGATATATACAATAATGTAATAATATGATCTTAAGTTAAATGAAAATAGTTATATATATATATATATTACTTTTACACGTATTAAATAATGTATAAATTGAATATATACCTAAAATTAAAGACTTGGGAGTACTTTGTCAAGTGACTATCTTTTTTTTTTACATATTTCCTTATTTATATCCTGATTACAAGTTTTATTTTACAGGCAATAGCCCAAAAAATACAATATGTATTTGACAGTAAATTGATCAACTTAAAATTATCAAATAACTTAAAAATGTGTAACTTAACATTACAAACAAAATTAAACTTGATAAAGAAAAAAAGACAAGAAAAAGTAGAAACATTATCAATATTTAAATCTTAAATAGAAAAGCTAAATGACTACATTAAAAATGAAAAGAGTGTAAATATCAGGGTCATTATTAGTGGTATGCATTAGACGTACGAGAACGAAATGAAATATATAGTTAGAAAATGAAAGAGAAATGATAAAAGGGGCAGTATAACGACTTGAACGAGCAGGTACCCGAACGTTCAATTTAGAAAGAAGGACAGGAGAATCAATCAAGCCAGCTGAGAGTTTATAAAGGAATATTGTAATCATGTTTTCTATCATATAAAGAAGGAAGTTGAAAGAAATTTTGAATATGAGTTAAGTCATGATGTGGATGGGGGATATTAAGGATAAAAGCAGCAAAGCGCAAAAATGTACACTGCACTCTTTTGAGCATTATAGAGTCTGTAGCTGTGTAAGGATCCTATAACACCAAACCATATTCAAGAATAGGACGAACCAACGAGCAAAAAATACTTTTTAGTGGTTTTGAGAGATGAAATTCATGAGATTTCTCTGAATAAAACCTAAAGTTTTGAGAGCCTTGCAGCAAGTTTCTTCAATATGAAGTTGAAAATAAAAGTAGGACTGAAACGAAACCCAAGGTCAACTAAAGAAGGGACAGATGAAATAGGGAAGTTAAGAATATAATAAGTTGAAGGAATATGATAGGAAATATGTGAAAAATTTATTTTATAGAACTTAGAAGTGTTAAACGTCAAGCCAATTGATTCAGCCCAACTAACTAAGTGATCTAGATCAGTTTGAAGTAAAATAACATCAGAACTATTAGTAACACACATAAATAATTTGAAGTCGTCTGCAAAAGAGTATTTTAGCATGCTGTAAAACAGAATTAGTACCATTTACAAAAATAGAAAAGAAAAGAGGAAAAAGGATTGAACCTTGTGGAACACTGAAGGAAGGAGTTATCACTTCAGAAGCACATCCTTGAATATTTACCCACTGTTTTCTTTCAGTTAAATATGAAATTAACCAAGAGAGGGGTGGTACACCAAAACCAGCGTGGAAAAGAAGTTCAGAAAGGATATTAAAATTAAGTTTATTGAAGGCTTTTGAAAAATCAGTATAAATGACATCTACTTGAGCATGGACAAAGAACGAATCAGTAATAAAAGATTGAAATACAAGATTACATGTTAATGTAGATCGGCCATAACAAAAATCATGTTATTTGTCAGTAAAAAAGTTATTAGTGCTGAATTTAATTGATTGAAAGACAAAGGACTCAAAAAGTTTTGATAAATGAGAAAGGTTAGAAATAGGGTGATAATTAATAACTTGAGTTGGATCACCGGATTTAAAATGAAGAGATATAGAAGAAATTTTAAAAATAGACGGATAAAATCCTTCATCAAGAAATATTCGGAAAAGCATCCAGAGTGGAAAGGATAACAAATGTCGCAGGTTAAATAAAAAGTTAACAGGAATACCGTCTGGTTCAATTGATTTATTATTATTAAGTTTAGATAGACCATTAAAAACATCAAATATTGAAAAAGGGGCATTATTAGGGAGATTATAAAATTTTTACAAAACATGTTTGACATAGACAGTGTACTATTGGAAACTACGCCATTATAACTTACAGAGTAAGATATAACAGAAGATTTATTATAACACACAAACTTCCAGAAAAATTTGGGGTTTTTAAAAAGGCAATTTTCACCTTTAGAAGTATATAAACGAAAATTTTGCTTAGAAAGATAATTATATCTTTATCATGTATTATCGTGTACGGCATTGTAAAAATGACAATAGTCATCAAGAGAAGAGGTTTTTTTAAATTTATAATGAGCACGCTTTTTTTCAAACACAAGATTTTACAGTTCAGAATTAAACCATGGAGGGAATTTGGAGGAATGAGATTTATGTTAAGAAACATATTGTAATATTGAGGAGTAAAGTGCATCCATGAAGCTGTTTACTGCTTGATCCACATTTAAAGAGGAAAAATTTGAATCCCAATTGTACGAGTTTAAAAATTGTAAAATACTAATATAATTAGCAAAATTAAAGTTAAAGAAAATTGTAGGTAAAGAGGATTTAGGGAACTGGTATCTGGAAAGGAAAGGTCAATAGGAACAGGGCACAGGAACTAGGCTAAGTGTTATATTAGAAACGTTACTTAACACTAAATCTAAAAGAGAGCCATGTGTATTGAAAATACAGTTATGCTAATAGAAACCATGAAAAGCAAATGTTTCAGGAACACAGGAGTAACGAGAAGGTAAAAAAGAAGAATATAAAACACAGTTAGCATCATTAGACCAATTCTGGCAAGTTGAAATCACCACAAAAAATAAAAAAGAACTTAGGATAAAGATGGAAAACATCATCAACAAAAGAAACATAGGCATCATAGAGGGATAAATCACAGAAAGGAGGAAGGTAGACAAAGCTTATAACAAAAGAACGAGAACCTAATTTAAAGGAGACAAACAATTGTTCAATAGTATTATTGGGAACGTTAATTGAAAAAGAAAGAATATCTTTACGTACAGCAATTAGTACGCTGCCACCACGAGAACATGAACTGCTTAAAAATGAACGGTCACAATGAAAAATATTATAATTTGTGAGACCAAGTTCACTAGAATAAAATGAATCATTTAACCAAGTTTCAGTGAGAAGTATAAAAATAAAATCAAAACATGCAACATCACACTTAAAATTAAATAATTTTGTACGAAGGCCTCAACAATTTTGATAGAAACCAATAAGACTTAACATCACCAGAAGCTGATATCTTGAGGTAGAATTGCTGTTTTTTTAATGTGATTTTACAATAGAAGGAATTCTATTATCGCAAGCGATGGTTATATCTTTCTCGCTGTCGGCAAATCGACGTTCAAGTTTACGGTGACACGACTGAAGAAGCTCACGTTCAAGAGGAGTTTTATCACAAACAATATTGAATGTTGAGATGACACTGGGGATAGACTTCTTATCATTAGAAAAAGAGGATAGGATGACGTTTAATGCAACATCTTTAGAACTAAATATAAATTTTAGGGGTCGAGATGAATTGGTAGAAACTTTATCCAAGTGGATCAATTATAATCGGGAGGTAATAAAACCGAAAAGGACTCTAGTGCAGATTTCAAATGATTAATGTTATCAATAACAAAGTAGATTAAGGTACACCATGAGCAATAAGATTGAAGCAACAGTGTTCACGATCAGATAATTCCTGAATGATTTTTTGCAACAAAGGGGCATGGTCAATTTGAGGAGAGAATTCTAAATTTTTAACTTTATCCTTTAAATCCGAAATAAATTTCTTCACATAGAAAATTATTTTCAGTTTTTAGTTCAGTTATTTGAGCTGATAATAAAGATAAATTTGCATTAAGCTCATTGAATTGAGCAATAAAAGCATCAGCATAAGACTGGCTTTGCTTAATCATTTGATCCTGTTTTTTTTTAAAGGAATTTATTGCTTTAAGAGTATCATCATTTGAAATAGGTGACAAGGGCCAACTAGATTTAGTTTTTAATAGGCGACTAGGAAGTGAACTCTTAACAGGAGTGTCACTTTTTAGAATTAATTTTATGATTTATAAGTGTAATATATGAATAAATATTTAGTATAGCAACTAAATATAGTATGAAGTTGATATTTAATAATTTAATATTGTAATTTTTTACAAAAATCTCATTTTTTTTATTAACTTTGATGTCTATTTTCACCATGAAAACAAAATAAAGTCCGAAATTTTTTTTTTTATCAAAGTATATTACAGCTTTAATTTAAGATTTATATAAAAGTGTCAATATATCCGGAACACTTTCGAAAATTAAGTTGAAGAAGTTGTCCTTTCTATATGCATTTTTAATTTTTGAACCCTCCCTGTATAAAGGGAAATGGTCAGAAGACAAAATAAATTCTGAAATTTATTTTTTCATAATGAAGTATATTACATTAGCTTTAATTTAAGATGTATATAAAAGTGTCAGTTTTTCCGGAACACTTTCAAAAGTTAAGTTGAAAAAGTTATCATTTTGAATCCCTCCTTGTGAGCAGGTGGTAAAGGGTCAAATTTAAAAAAAAATATACAAAATGATAGGTAAATACCTCATGAATCTATACAAAAAAAATGTATATTGATTTGGTCATATTTAAAAAAGTTATGGCAGTTTTAAGCAAAAAAAATTAGTAGTTGACGTTTGAATATCATCTATGACACCAAAGATGATNAAAAAAAAATATACAAAATGATAGGTAAATACCTCATGAATCTATACAAAAAAAATGTATATTGATTTGGTTATATTTAAAAAAGTTATGGCAGTTTTAAGCAAAAAAAATTAGTAGTTGACGTTTGAATATCATCTATGACACCAAAGATGATATAGCTACCGTACCAAACTTTGCTCAGTTCTTTGTGAAAACAGGATGGATATACCACATAAAAAGGGATAATTATGTAAAAATCAAGAATCCAATTAAGAAAAACCTGTAAGAACAAGGGTGAAAACAATGACTTTATAGAGAATCATTGAACAATTAGAAACGTTAGTGTTAAAAATGAGGCATCTTATGATGAACCAAACTAATAGTTGGACACTTTAAAATGAATTATTAACTAGCAAAACGATAAAAGATAAATCAACAAGCAGAATTTAGGAGTAATAAGACTCCTGAATTCTAAACAATTTTTTCTAACAATTGTTATTTTTTTATTGTAATATTTCAATAATCAATATTGTAATAAAGTTGATAATAATGAACCATTGAAATAATGGTTTAATGATAATGAATCATGAAAATACCCTATTATTATAATAAAAAATTACCCGATCTTTGAGTGCTTTAACTAAAGCATTATACTCAGTATCTTTTTCTTGTAAAACTTCTAAATAATATTCTTCTTTATGTATTAAATCAGCTTCTCGTTGTTGAAACTCTTTAAGAATCTTTTTCAATTTCAAATATTTTTTTTCCAGATTTACATAACGTTCCTAAGTTTATTTAAGAATAAAATTTTTGTAAAATTAAAATAATAACACTAAATTACCTCTGATGTTTGCAACATAGCTTGATAAGTTTCTTTATCTCTTCTAGTGACATATAAACATTTGTCTATTTCATTAAGATGTAATCCTGTCTGAATAAGTTTGTCAGATATTTCTTTTTTGTTATTACTTATTCCATTCCATTCTAACTCTTCAATCTAAAAATTATTTTTATCGTAATAATTTTAATGATAAACCAAATATAAAATATACAAATTTATGAGTAAAAGCAAATTATTATTATTTTTTTTTTTTTAATACATGTTAACAAAAATTAAAAGCAATATAGTTTTATAATTAGTATGCCAAAAAAACCAGAGATCATTGGAGCTCACCCTGGTTTTCAGTTTACTAACTTTATCTTTAGCTTTAGTATCATTTAAATGACTCTGTAAAATAAAAATATTCATATTCTTCTCAGGAAAAGAGTAACTAATATTAAATAAGTTGCCAAAATAAAAAATAAATTTTAAATTGTTTATTTACTTCTTGCAATAACTCTCTTAAAGATTGAACATTGTTGGTTTCTTCAGATTTACTCAAATCTTCACTTGATGATTCATTTTGATCATTACTAAATAACTGTTGATTCAATGAATGTTCTAATTGGCGTCTTTGAGTATCTCTTTCTCGATCAGCCTTATTTAAAAAATATTGAATTACTATTTATTAAAATTAATTATTTAAACAATAACTAATAAACCATACTTCCAATGATTGGCGAATGAGATGAGCAACTTCACTATTTTCAGGATCAGTTTCTCTTCCAATAACAAAATTTACTTGACCATAAGTGTTTCTTAAAACTGATGCTGCATAAGCTTGAGTGACTCCAACTAATGATTTATTGTCTACTTCTATTATTTGATCATTTACCTAAAATAGATTGTGTCAATCACATAATAAAACATTAATATAAATACTTTTAAAATTTAACTATTGGATATATAATAATTTGAAAATAATTTATTTTCTTTCTTTCAAAATTTTGATATTTTATGATGCTGTCAAAAATATATATTTAAAATTTTTAGATTTTTAGTTTTCAGAAAAATGTACAAAAGAAATAAATTAGTGGTAGCCTAATTTTTTAATAAGCTTACTCAAAATATTTAGTATTCTAGACAGGGAACTACATTCCAATACTCAAATAAAATAATTATGAATTAAAAAAATTACTTGTATTCTACCATCTGTAGCAGCAGCACCATTAGGTGTTATAGTTTTCACAAAAATACCAAGTTTTTCAAGACCTGTATCAGCACCAACACCCATTCCAATTATAGATAAGCCTAAACCTTCAGGACCTTTTAATAAAGTGACTTTCATTAAATCTAAACGTTCTACTCTTTTTTCTAATTCATATTCTGCTGAAGCTGCAACAGGATCAACATCTTCATTGCGTCTATCATATTCATCCATAGAGAATGTGCTGTAAACCTAAATGTAATACATTTTTTAAGTATTTGAAAGAATATTAAATAGTAATATAGATAAAACAAACTTTAATAGGATCAATACTGAATTTCACTTTCATATTTTGTTTAATATCAATATGACATTCATCATCAGAATCACGTTCTGGTAGTCCAGGAACTTCCATCCAAAAATGACCATCTTCATAATAATGAACACCTCCTTCCTCAAAAATCTTGTGTAATGTAAAAGAAAACGTTATTTGGTATTAAACAAATATTACAATTATATTATATTATTTTTATTTAATTTTTTAGTGTACCTCCTTTGTAGGCTGCGGAATAAATTCATTCAACTTATGCGAATCTCCATCAACTTCAATACCTTCAGAATCAACAGTTTCATTTTTCACAGAAGTTTCAGTTTTTGATTTATTAAAATTTTGTTCTAAAGAAACATCCACTTGAAAATCATCCATATTATAATTTTCAATAGTTTCATTAATTTCTTGACTAAAGCAGAAAACATACACAACAGTCAAAAACATTAGTAATTTTATTTTTAATTGTTTGCAATTTTATATTAAATTAAATTATATTTATTTATAAAAAAATGTTTAATAATATCAGGCAGACGAAAATGATAAAAGATGTAAATACTAATGTACCATAGTTTTTTTTTATGAAAAATTATTGGATTTTTTACTAACTCTTTTACTATAGCTAGACCATGGGGTAATTACTCTGTCACTAATCTGATATGGAGTTAAAAATTACTAAATAAAAAAAAAAGTAATAAAGTTCTTTTTTAAAGCTTCTGATAAATTAAAAATTTAGTACTTTTGGCCTCAAAGCACAACACAAGTAATTTATAATTTAAAAAAAAAAATAGAAAATTAAGTAAATCAAAATAGTTGACACTAATATTCTTTGTCACAGGGCAGCCATCCGTTTATTAACAGTCTTACAACCAGTTAAAAAATAAAAAGTATATATAGGGTGTTCAGTAAGGAAATGGGTTTCTATCGTTCTCATTGTTTATAACAATTGACCTGTTACTTTACATACTGAAAATTCTGTATATGTATATAGGCTTTTCATAATTGCAACAATCAGAGGTAACTAGTAATGGCAAAGTTGAAGGAACGAAACAGAACGCATAATTAGCAACAGACTGTCGGCGGCGGCCTTGTTACGGTGTCAAGGGCAGGGAGATGCACGATGACCACCACTTGTCATATTGATAGGTGGACGGTTGATATCGAAAGAGATACAAGTGAGCGCTAGCCTAGAGCAGTGTGCAGTGCCGTATCAAATAGATCATACATTATTAAATAACCAAAATTTCTTATGAATCGCGATTAGAGATAATTGTAAAAAAGTAACCTTTCATTGGTACAATCACTTGATTCGACCGATAAAATCTCACTCATCCAATCAGAAGTGTTTAACTGGTCATCAGTTGGGGAAAGTAATATTTTTATTTCTTTAGCTTCTTCATCGGACAAAAGATTATCTTGACTTCTAAAAATTAATTATTTTTTAATATAAATTTAAGTTAAAATGATAAAATCCTAATAATTAAAAGAATAAAACATTACTTACATACTTTTTTTTTCCAGAATTCTTCATAAAATTAAATTAATTAACATGCAACCAAATAAAAAAAAAATAAATTCAATAAATAATGAATGTCTAAATAATTAGAAAACAAAATTAAATAATAAAAACTTAATTTTTTTTTAATAAATAGACAGTTTTGTGAGAAAGTCAAGTCAATTTTGTTAATTTTAATGCTATTAACTATTTAAGTACATAACAAAAAAGTTTTCATCATGAAAGAAAACATTCATATATTATCAATACATAAAATGCAATCGTAAGTCATTCAGTAAATTTTTTTTAAATTCTTACTATTAATTATTTTATTACGTTTTACTTAGTAAAACGTGATGTGGATTTACTTTCCATAAAAATACACAAAAAACATAGTTTTTGAAATACCTAAATTTCAATTATTTAAAAGTATTTTATGTCATGATAATATATTCTAAATGTATAAAAAAACATTAAAACATGATTATCTATTACTTTGAACTAAGCAATTGCTCAGCTTCATCTGGTGTCATCATATCTGGCTGTCCAAATTCAAGATCAGTAATTTCTAAATTATTTTTTGCACATTCATTGTTTGCATTTAAAGATATTACCACCTGAATATATACAATGTAGACAAATTAAAGAAAATTGAATTCCTTTAAGAAATAACTACAAAAATAGGAAGAAAATAAGATAAAATATTATTTAAAAATAATACTTTTTATACTTGTTATATGCTTATAACGCTTGTTAATGCTTATATTATGATTTTTTTATCGTTATGCACTTATCTAAAATTAAAATTTTTTTTTTTAAGACTTACACTTTGCTTTTTATTTCCATCAGGAAACTGTTCACTTGCTTGTGTATTTGCTATTACTTTATTTAACTCTTGAATGTTAACAACCTCTGAAGATATAAATCCAGAATCACCTTCATTTTCTAACTGCATAATTTCTTCTGGTAAACCAGTAGTATCTCCAATATTAAACTGAACTTTAGGTGTAGATGAATTGACTTCAGATAAATTCACACTGATTTCATCAATAATTTTATCAAATTCTTGGTCATTAAATTTGTGAGTTATTTCTATATTCATAAGTGAGTCAGATGTGTCTAATATTTCAACTGATTTAATATCTTCCAACTCCTTACAAAAATTACATTTTTCAATTTAAAAAACGGTTATTTGATTATTAATATTTAAAAATCATTTCTTACCTTATTGGTAATTTGTTTATCAGTCACATGATTTTTTTGAGTTTTACCAACATGATCTTCTAAATTTGTTTTGAATGAGTTACTTTCAATTGGCTTATTATCAAAAGGTATTAAAATGTTTGTATCAATTATATTTTTATTGAATTCGCCATTTGGAATATTACTTTTACTACATAAAAATATTCTAAGGTTAATAACATCATAAAAATATATTTCAAAAATAGAAGTTACGTACAAGTTTATATTTTTAGTATCCACAATAATAGTTTCATTATTTATAATTAAAGAAGAGGATGATGTTATTGGAGAAAAATTATCATTTTGATTAATAGATGATATAGATGCTGTTCTTGAAATACCTTCAGGTTTTATGTTTGGAATCCATCCTCTTACTTCATTTGGACTAGGATCACTATTATACCTAAATGATTGATATTATGGATAAAAACTGAAATAAATAAATAAAAAACTTATCTATTATACTAATACCTAGAGTTGGAAGACCTTGGAGATTTTGAAAAATGTGATGTCCAATTTTTTTGCTTTTCGATTAATTCGCGACTATTAAATTTTTTTTCAGGCTTATCTGGTTTTATAGGTTTTTCAACAAATTTATTACCATTTAGTTGTGAATGATTTATGGTACCGACTGCATTACTAACTTTTAAATTAACTGATGGAGGACTAGGAGATCTTGAATTTGCACAAATATTATCTTGAGAATTACTTTGCTTAATTTTTTCAAGTAAAGTAGTTTTGGGTTCACCTAGACAAAGTAAAATTTTTATAGAAAAAAATTACAACTCTTCAAAAATAGATAAATTATAAAAAAATTTATTGATATATAAAGATACTTCTTAAGAGTTACATTTATTTATTTATTTATTTATTTATTTGGTGTAAACACCCAGGTGGGCTCAAGTACAGTGACAATAAAACATTGTTGAAATGAAAATAAATTCCCATAAAAAAAGAAAAAAATGAAATAAATATAGTTATACTTCATAAAACAATGCTATCAAAATAATATTAGTCATTAAAAACTAAAAAAATTATTTTTCTGCTGTCTTTTTTTTTTTTTTTTGCATTAATGAAAAATATAGTCTATAAGAATTTTAAAAATAACTAAAATTTCACTAACCAGTACCCAGCTTCTCAAATAAAGCTCTAGCATTATTAAACCTTGCCAAATGACTCTCAGTTCTAACTACAGTTACTTGGGTAGGAGTATCAAGTTTAGTAGAAAGTTTTCTTTCAAGTGTTGGAGAAGTAATCTGGTTAATTGTCATTATATCAGTATCCTTATTCACTGAGGGTCGCTGGAAAATGTTGGCAATTTGTGAAACTTTAGGGCCAACCATTCTTATCGATTTCTTGTCATCTATTACTGTCGACATCTATGATAAAGTATACATATAAAAAATGTGATTTTGTTAAATAAGTACAAAACAATAAGTACTCAACCAAAATACTAATCTCTAGATTATCATTAAAAACTTATTCTTACATTTTCAATATAAATATATATATATATATATGTTATCTAAATTCATCTATTAACAGGTAGTTCTACATAATACAACTTTATTAAAAAAGGATTTTATAGAAATGTATACCATTTTTCTTTAATCTAATTACTGTAAATTAGAATTAAATAAGAAATTTTTCAAAGTTATTGCACAAAATTGTCTAATTAAGATACGAATCCAACTCAAAATTACTCAGTACTCACAATTTAAAAATCATAGTTTCTAAAGTTCATCACCATTTTTATATAGCGGTGAGACACATACTTCGTGGCACATGTCCGCTGCGCTAGTGCAGAAAAGTATGATGCGTAGCAATAAGCGATTAATATCACCTATTTGGAAAACATTTTTTCCGCGAACCTGTTCATCATCATTTCATCAGAAGTAGCTGTTGAACTCCACGACCTACAGTCACAACACTACACTATAAAACACAGCAATAATTGACGGCCGATAACAATTAACAACAAAACGGAATGTCGTCAAAATATTATCGTTTTTGATAATATTAACAATGATTCTCGATCCCGGGGATACATAATTTATTACCTAATAGATAAAAGGTTAAAAAATTTAAAACTAATAATCAGACGTGTAAAAAAACTTAGAATACTCATTCCATTAAAATAATTTTAAAAAAATTGGACTATTTAGTTACATATATAGGCATTTGATAACAAAAAGGTAATCTTTGTACCTAACACAGAGCACCCGAAGAAAAATTAATACGAGTTCGCAGGATAGAATTTTTTATTTTTTGTGTAATTGCTACCCCTAGAATATTGGCGTATTTAGTTTTCCTAGGCAAACATATTCTTGCGGTCGCCTTATTCAGTGGTAGATTGGGTACGGAAAGGTATCCGACGTGAAATCAAATTATAACCTTAAGCTAGTGTACTAAAATTTTTTTATTCATTACGCCATTTATAAGAGCAAAATAGCTCGACCAGATTAATTTTCTTGGATATAATTATTTTGCCAATATACCACTGCTCCTATCACTTAGTTACCTACAATGTTTATTTATGGCTATTAAATTTTTTTTTTTTTAATATAAAATATAAAATGTTCTATAGGATCTATTATCATCGACTTTTTAAACACCGATTTAAAACTGTTCACTTTAAATAATAGCTCAATCGTACTAACTAGAAAGCTATGGTAAATTTCTCTATTCAATCTTTCACTAAGTTTTATGAAGTGCCCTTGTTACAATAAAATTTTAAAACGTTTTTCATGCAAAACGTGTTTTTGATGGCAACTCATTTTTCTATGAAATTGTTTTTATTAAAATAATATAAAAGAGGTCAGTAGTTAAAATATAATTTGTTTAATTTTTTGAAAAACTCGTATATGAGTGATAAATTTAAACAATTAAATTTGTTGGGGATTAATTTGATTATTAATTTTTTAATAAAAAATGCTTATGTTTATCAACATTAATCAGGCCACATCTACAGTTTAAAATTTTAAATCTTAATAATTTCTGAAATATTGATTATAAAATAACTGGACCTCATAAAATAAAAGTTATGTAAAATTAAAGAGTCAAAACTTTTTTTAACACTTATTTTTATTTTAGAAGAGATAAAGTGATCAATAATGAATCAATCATCCTAAAAACTTGTAATTTTGTAAAATTTAAAAAAATGATAATTCCTATCACTATTTGTTACTCAGGGAAGTGCTTTTTGTTACTGTTAATGATGAATTTATTACAGGATTTAAAAAAAAATAGTATCGTTGTAGGGGCTCAATAAAAATTAGATTTGTTTTAATAGAAAAAGATAAATTTTCATAGTATTAAATACAACTTGTAAGTAAAACAATTACTTTTAATTAATAATACAATTATCTATAAAAAATTCATTTTTTATCCTTTAAAACTAAATTAACATAATTTTTCATACTGTCTTTAACTTTTTCAACAGCTTCTGAGTTACCATGGTTTTCTTCCAAAATCATCCATTTATTGAATAAACTTTTCATTTTTTTTGGAGCTAATTTTTGAATTGTTGCACGTTCTAATGCATGTCTAGGAGAAAAAAATTGTTACTTAGAAAAGTATTAAAATTTTTTTAAAAATAAACATTTAAAAATAATTGTTATATTAAAAACAAACACAGAATGTATTTATAATTCAGATTTAGTTTTTAGATATTATTATTGGATTAGCAATTTTCTAATGAAAAAAATTTCATCTACCTAGCAAGGTCAACTTTATCTGATTTCACTAACATATCTATATATATACTCCATACATCAATTCGTGATGGATATGACGTAAGAATGTGTTCAAATAATGTTTGAGCTTCTTCAGGTGATCCTCTACTGTTTTCAAGTAATGCAAAGCGACTTATCATAGATACATCTAAAAATGTAATAAAATTAATTAATTAAAACTTATTAAAGAAAAATAAAATTAAACCATACGAGATTTTATGGGGAGATGTGATAATGCTTTTTGCAAAATAAATCTGGCCTTTCCAGCTTTGTTCAACTTAAAATAAACTAAAGCACAGTGAAAATAAGCATCAATAGAATCACGAAATTTTCTATTTATTTTTGTTACAATTTCTTCAAGTTCCTAAAAATATAAGTAAAAAATAAGTAAGTAAAATTGCTAGAGGAATAGTAAAAGACTTGGACTATAAAATTTTTTAGAAATTTATGTTTAGTCATATAAAAGCATATTTTAAGGTGGAGGAAAATATTAAAATATATAATTAGCCCTGTTAAAACTTTTATTCTATTTTCATATACAAATGAAAAATTAAGAGTAAAAAGGTCCTATGTAAATTTTTTCTCTAACCAATAGAGTCAATAAAACTATTTAGTTCTAAATACAATATCTTTTGAAGATCTACTGAAAATATTTCAATTATATGGTATCAGTGCTGTATTTTGGTCTAAATAATCAAGGATTTAAGATTTTAGTGGGACATTTATCTTTTATGTTTAATGAAACACCAATGAGGAACAGATGCGACAAAGGGAGAATTGGGTTTACCCATCTACATAAAATGATGACTATGTATAAGTTAGAATAAGAGAGGTAAAGTTCTATACTTTATGATCCAAGAGTTTTATGGACTTCTCCCATAGTAAATTCCTTAAATATACTACTGAAGAGTGATCTTAAAATTTCAAATTCAGCCATGTATTTGCTATATAACAGTTAAAATATTGACTGCATTAATATATTAGAATAAGCAGATTTTATCTGTTATTTTATAATATAATATAATCAAATAAATTTTAAATAAATCGGAGCTATCTTATTCATTTAGTATTATGCCTTAGTGCATAAGTTTCAGTTATAATTCTGTTGTGCTGGACTATGTATGTTTTTCTGTCCACTCTAGCTCAATTAGTAACATTAAGACAAGATGTAAAATATTTAATCTTATATTAAACTTTATTTGGTGTTAATTAAATTATAAAATTAATCATAAATGTACTTATTACGAACTCTAATAATATATTTTTTTAATAAGCAAGATGATAACCTATAATAGTTCAATGTGTAAATGAATTTTTAGCAAGAAAAAAAAATTTTTTTATTCTTATGATTATTTTTTGTTAGCTATTATAATCTACCTTTAAACATTAAGTTAAAATAAAGTTATTATTGAATAAACTTTCATTTAAAAGTAAATATAAATTTAATAGCACCTTTATTTTATTGGATTCAGCAAGTAAATCTAAAATTTTTTTGTAGACTTCATACTCATCGTTAGAACGTAGAGCATTATCCATAGTTTCTTTAAATGATTCCTGAAAAATAATTTAAGTTTTTATTGACCAATGGTATTACAATCTCACAAAATTTAATTAAATTTATTAATAAAATAAATTAAATTGTATTAAATAATAGCAAACATTAATATAATCATAAAAAGTTTCTAAAGTATATTTTTAATAATTTAACAAAACTAAGTACTTTGATACTAAACATTTTTTAAGATAAAATAGTAATCCTTAGAAAAAAATTTACTTTAGTTCCATATAGATTTTCTAAATTTAAAAGAGCTGTCCACACATTTAATTTTTCCTGTTCTTCTCTTGAATCTATTGTTGATAATGCTTTCTTAGCAATAGCTCGTGCTTTTTCTACTTCTGTAGCCTAATATTTAAAATAAATTTTAAGTAAATAGTGTACATAATAAATAAAATTATAAATTTATAATTTATATCTACATGACTCAAGATAACTTTGAGGAATAATTTTTGTAAATTATTATACAGTTTTATTCTCATGTAGGTAATAGAATTAGAAATCCTAAAATGAACATTATCTCAAAAATCTCATTTTTGAGTTAAAACATTTTAGATCTAGGGGTGCGATATATTTTAAATTAAAGCTAATGTAATGTACTATATTTTGAAAAAAAAAAATTTCGGACTTTATTTTATCTTCATGGTGAAAACAGACATTAAACTTAATAAAAAAAATACGATTTTTGTAAAAAAATTCTTTTTTATATTTTTAACTTTATAATGCTATAACTTTTTGAAAGATGTATGGATCAATATAATTTTTTTTTTTTATAGATGCATGATGTCTTTACCTATCATTTGGTATATTATATAAATTTTACGTAAAAATATTTTTTACATTTTTAACTTTATAATGCTATAACTTATTGAAAAGTGTATGGATCAACATAATTTTTTTATGAGAAATAATATTTTTTAATAATCCCTTTTTCATTTGACATACTTTATTCTAATCAGGAACTAGCAGATCATGTAGCTTTTGGAATAATCCACCAATTTTTTAAAATTAAACACTATCTAAAGATTTGCATCGAAGCGTTTTTTTTTTTTATAGTGATTTTAATCACTGTCAGATATTATTATACTTGATCCAACTATGTCACGTCACCACTGTGCCGCGACTCCCCTGTGCGGGGTTTTTTTTTATTAGATTAATTGGAACATAAATATTTTATTTTATTATAATGAGTAATGAAAAATTGGTTGATACCCTACCTTAATGTTAGACTATTAAATGATAAATAGTTAATTTTACTTGTAAATGACAAGCCATGTATTTTATCCAAATAAGAGAATTATTGGGATTGGCTAAAACTAGTCTATCGAAATGATCTGCATTTTGAGGATTAGTTTCAATATGTATTAATTCTTGTTCTATTTTTCTCAATCTTAACTCTTCTTGTTTTTGCTCTTCTCGCTTTTGAGCTGCATTTAGTTTACGGATTTTTTTCTTCTTGGGTTCTTCATATTCTTCCTGAAGTCATACATTTTTAATTAAGTAGAATATATTTAATTATGAATTATATAAATACATTTTGCACTGTATGCTTTTGTCTTAAAGATTTATATTAAACTAAAAATTAACAAAGTTAATAAAATAACCAAATAGAGAAATAAAAACTGTAAGATAAATTATACCCAGTAAAATAGTTATTACAGAATGATTGTAATAATTTCTTCTCCTCCTTCATCTTCCTCGCCTTAATCCCAACTACTTGGGGCTAGCCACCCTTATCCTAAACTTCCACTTGACACAATCTCCCACATCATCTACGCTCACATCAGCTGTCTTCAAATCGCAATTAATAGCATCCCTCCAGGGATTATTAAATATTTGTTGGAATAATATTGTAAGCAAGGTGTATTCATTTTGGGTAAATCATGTTTTGGAGGTGGTGCAATGACTATATGTAATATATAGTTAATATAGCTCGTAAGAAAGCTCATTCTCTGCTCTTCTTTCTTGTCAATCGTCCATCACTATGAAACATACATCATTGTTAATCGCACTACAGTTTTATAGAACTTACCTTTCAGGCTCATTATAATTCTCTTATCACATAAAACGCCAGACGCCTCTCTCCCTTCAACCACCCGCACTTATTTCTGTGTCTTACATCCTCGTCAATACCACCGTTCTCCTGTAAAACTAATTCTAAATACTTATTACTTTTCACTTGTTCTATCACGTCCTCGCTTATTGTCACTATTCTCCTCATTTTACCTACCTCGTGTTCTCCTTTGTTAAACTCGTACTCTATATACTCTATCTTACTCATATTTATTTTGAATCCTTTTCCTTCAAAAGTTGATTTCTACATCTCTAGTTTTTAATTAGTTTCTTCCTTAATTTCTTCTATTAACGCTATATTGTCAGCGAACAACATGCACCACGGCACCTTTCTTTGTATTTCTCTAGTAATTTCATCCATCACTATAAAAAATTAGTAAGGGCTTAAAGCAGAACCTTGGTACACTCGTACTCTTACCCGAAAACCTTCTGATACTCTTCCTACGCTTTTTACCCTGGTACAAGTGCCATCATACATATCTTCTATTATATTAATGTACCTTTTCAGGACTCTTTTTCTTATTAATGCCCACTTTAAAACCTCTCTCGGTACTCTGTCATACGCTTTCTCCAAATTTATAAATACCATACCCAGCTTTTTTTTATTTTCCCTAAACTTTTCTATTATTTGCCTCACACAAAATACTGGCTCCATTGTTGACTTACCAAGCATAAATCCAAACTGGTTTTTAGATACCAATGTCTTATTTCTTATTCTCTTATCTATTATCTTTTTCCAAATTTTCATACTATGACTCATAAGCTTTATGTCTCTATAATTTCCACACTCCTATATGTCTCCTTTACCTTTAAATATCGGCACCACAATACTATTCCTCCATTCATTTGGTATTTTTCCTTCTTATAAGATTTTATTTAAAAGTTCCTTCAACCACCTTAAGCCAACACCGCCTAATATTTTCTATACTTCTACTGGCACTTCATCTAGTCCTACTGTTTTATTCTTTTTCATTGATGCCACAGCCTCCCATACCTCTTTCTCACCAATTAAATCTACCAGTCCCTCATTCCACGAGATATCCTCTAATGTCTCTTTTAGGTACTCCTCATTCAATAATTTTTCAAAATACTCTTTCCACCTTTTTTTCATATCATCATCATTCGAGAGTATCTCATTCAACACTTTTTATACACCTTATATAATGATAACCTTTAGACCTTTTCTCTTTTATCTTTGCAAGTCTATAGATTTCTTTCTCGGCTTCCTTTGATCCTAGCCTATCATACAACTCATTATACCTCATAAACTTCGCCTTACTTACTGAATACTTGGCTTCTTTCCACAAGCATTTATACTCCATCTAGTCTTTTCTCCATTTGCTCTTCTGCCATAATTTGAATTGCTTTTTCTTACTATCTATGATTTTTTGAACGTCTTCATCCCACCACCAGGTTTCTTTGTTTCCTGGCATTCTACTCATACTCTCATCAACAATCTCCTTTGGAGTATTCTTTATACAACTAGCAAATCTATTCCACTCATCATTTATGTTTCCCTCGACATTCCACACCATCTTCTCTTCTACCATCTTTACAATCTCTTTTTCATTTTCATAATTCTGTCACTTCTCCTAGGTACTTTTACTACTCTACTTTTCGTCTCCTCAACCATTATTATCCTTATACCATTCTTTGTACTAGACATACCTGAGTATATTATTTTATAACCCTCACCTATTTCCCTTGATTTTTCTCCTTTCCACTTAGTTTCCTGCACACAACATATGTTAATTTTTCTCCTCTTCAATACTTCTACTAATTCTCTACTTCTACCAGTTAATGTTCCAACATTCCAAGTACCTATTCTTACTTTGTATCTATCTTTCTCCCTTATACACATGTTCAGCCTAGAGTTAAGTGGTGATGTCTCAACACCGTTGACATTACAAGCGTTGGGTAGATCTGTACACATGACTAGTGAAACAGCTACCGCACAAGTTGTCCAGTTGGTATCAAACACTTTATTCCTTAGGCCTTCTCCGTTTTTAACTACTTTCTGTTGTCCCTGCGTACATCCGAGATGGGACAAACCCAAGTTTTGTTCAGGATTCCTGATACTTTTTTGATAAGGATTTTTATACCGGCTGTCAACCAGACATAACCTCATTAGTCGCCTCTTACTACTGACAGAGGGGCCGTGGAAGTATTCTTATCCTCTATCCACAGGGAAATATGATTATAATAATTTACTTTAAATATTTTCATATATAATTAAACTTTTTACATTAATTCATAAAAATGGAAGTCTTCAAAGATTTTTTAAATTTGCCTAATTTAAATTTAGTTAATTACTTATCTACAACAAAATATATATATAATATATTTTTTAATATATATTTAAGAAAATAATATTATACACACTTTATCAGAACCATCAGATTCATTTTCATGTTTGTTGAAATAATTGATGTTAACATTCCATTCAAATCCAAGATTTTGAACCGACAAAGAGAGTTTACAACTCTCATCATTACTTCGTTTTTTATCCATAATTACCAACTACATTCACTAAATGACAATTAAACTTTATTTCTACTGACTACTAATCATTTGTGGGAAGACTAAAAAATCTTTCTCAAAAACATCAGCTAAATTGATACAAATAGAAACGTGTTTAATATCATTCTGTTATCAAATTATTTTATGATAGCACGATTAAAGATAACTGAGTTTTTATTCTTTCTTATGTATGTAGAAAACAGGTTTTTTAATTATACCACAACTAACGGTAAATTAGCCAAGTGATAGTAAAATGAGGAAAAACTCAGTAAAAAATCTCACAGTGTTAGCTTACTACAATAAAATTTAGATACAGCATCATTTATACAGCGCAGTATAAATTTTAGAAAAAAAAAAATTAATTTTAAATATTTTAAGTAGCTACTTTAAAGTTAGGTCTGTGGATCCTGAATCAAATAAACGTATTGATATACGTATTAATCATTGATATACGTATTGAGAAAAGGACTGAAGAAAACGCATGATTGTTGATCATGATCATGATTATTATAATTTGGAGGTGTGTAACTTTTTCCATGAAAATGACTTATACTTTTGAATGAGAGTGATAAGTAATAATTGCCTTATCTAATTTCTTATCATGGTATTAATGCCAAGTTTGTAATGTATACACATTATCATCGTATGTATACACAGTAATCATGAAAAGATAGCGTTTTCTTCTGTCCTTTTCTCAATACGTATTTCAATGTTTATAACCGTAAAATAGTACATGAAAATTCAAATTTTCACAAACTTCAAAACGCTACAGAATATTTACTACTGAATATTAATAAGATATTTTTTTACTAAAATTTTTCTTAAATTCTACTCTACAAAATAGCTATCTTAGATTTTTTTTTTACATTTTATTTAAAATTTAAAAATAATTAATATTTTTAATAAAATGTAAACAAATTAATTATTGAGATATAGCTATAAACCTAACGTATAACTATTATTTAAAAAAAAAATCAACTAAAAATATTAACTGGATCAAAAGTTATTTAAGTTGTCAGTGAGTGGTGGGCCACTCTGTATTTTATTAAACAATATATATATATATATATTGAAATTATTATATAACACATTTTATTAGAAACTTAAATGTCGTGGACATAATGTGATTTATTATGTCTATTATACTTTATTTTTAGTAAAATAATGATTTTTTCTCTAAAAAGTACTGAATAAAGCTTTATTTTTTTTTACCAACCATAATATTTATTAAATTTTATGTAATCATTTTTGAATTTCGATGCGAAGCTAAGGCATTGGTTTTGTGATAATACTTATTTTAGCTTTGATGCGAAGGTGAGAATGTATTAATTTTACTATGATGTGTTTTTATTTATTTTGTGTCTATGAACGCTCAATCTCAGCTCTCGCTGGACCTATTTTGATGAACAACTAAATGAAGGTATTGGTTTACTATGATGTGTTTTTTTTTTTTTTTATATGTTACCACTTTTTCTCAGCTCTCACCGAACCGATTTCTTTCAATGATACGTCAAAAGATCACAAATCGTATCTAGTCGAAATCATTACCCTCAAAAATTAAAAAAAATTTCTTCGTTCCCCGTAAATGGGGAAAACCTCCAAAAAAATTACAAATTTAAAAATCGCTAAATTCTGAAATTTTTTCAATTTTTTTTATTTAAAGCTGCCATAACTTTTTCAAAAATGACCAAATCAATACAATTTTTTTATAGATGCTTGATGTCCTTACCTATCATTTGGTATATTTTTTTTATAAATCTGACTTTTTACCTGCCCACAGGGGGGGATTTAAAATGACAACTTTTTTACAAAAAATTAATTTTTACAACATAACTTTTGAAAGTGTTCCGGAAGGTCTGACACTTTTATATATATCTTAAATTAAAGCTAAAGTAATATACTTTATAATGGCAAAAAAGAATTTCGGACTTTATTTTATCTTCATGGTGAAAACAGACATTAAACTTAATAAAAAAAATACGATTTTTGTAAAAAAATTCTTTTTTATATTTTTAACTTTATAATGCTATAACTTTTTGAAAGATGTATGGATCAATATAATTCTTTTTTTTGTAGATGCATGATGTCTTTACCTATCATTTGGTATATTTTTTTTATAAATCTGACTTTTTACCTGCCTACAGGGGGGGATTCAAAATGACAACTTTTTCACAAAAAATTGACTTTTTCAACTTTAATTTTGAAAGTGTTCCGGAAAGTCTGACACTTTTATATATATNAATTTTGAAAGTGTTCCGGAAAGTCTGACACTTTTCTATATATATTAAATTAAAGCTAATGTAATATACTTTATTATGTAAAAAAAAAATGTCGGACTTTATTTTGTCTTCACGGTGAAAATGGCTACCAAATGCTATTATTGTGTGAAAATTCTCGATTTTATTTTTTACATTTTTAACTTTATTTGTTAAAAAATTTATTTGCTTGTTGTGTATTGATCAATATAATTTTTTTATGGGAAATACTATTTTTTAATAATCCCTTTTTCATTCGACATACTTTATCTTAATCAGGATATTAATAAGGAACTAGCAGTTTATGAAGCTTTTGGAATAATCCACCAATTTTTTAAAATTAAACACTATCTAAAGATTTGCATCGAAGCGTTTTTTTTNAATTAAACTCTATCTAAAGATTTGAATCGAAGCGTTTTGTTTTATAGTGATTTTAATCACTATCATTATACGTGATCCAACTATACCACGTCACCACTGTGCCGCGACCCTCTTGTACTGGGTTTTTTTTTATAAATTTAACCCTTTGTTATAAGTAACAAACAATTTTTATTGAAAAGTATTGCGTCAAGCCCTTTAAATTTTTATACATGTTAAAAGTAAAAAAATATACAACTACTTTATTATTTTTATAATATCTCCGTAAAAATTACAATATTAAAATATTGAATATCAATTTCATACTAAATTTAATTATTACAATTATTACTAATTTGAAATGCTCCTCCTTGGCGCCTAATAGATGCCTTCTTATAAAATTTTTAGAATCCAATGGAATTTCCAATTTTATTCCCTCTGTTGTACTAAATTCCCATTCTATTCCTGTAATTACTGCGATAATTTCTTTTATATTGAGCGCTGGTTATACTATTTAACTACTTTATTATATATTATAATTTATTGCATATACTTTACTTTTATTATACTAACTAATACTTATTATTCTTGTAATTGATACTATATTATGTAATTCTTATGTAATTGTCGAGCTATAATATTTTCATAATAAAAGCTAATAAAAAAAAAAAAAATATTATTTATTTATATATTACAATTATAAATCAAATAGCTAATCGGGATAAAATTAAGGGAATAAGAGTTATTGTTGCTTTTGAAATAATCTACCAATTTCTTAAAATTGAACACTATCTACAGATTTGCATCGAAGCGTTTCTTATGATAGTGATTTTAGTCACTGTCAGATATCAGCTATACTAGTCCCAACTATGTCACACTAACACTGTGCCGCGACCCCAGTGTGCTACCATTTTTTTTATATTGGTCTGTTTGTGTCTGTTATTGGAACTTTAAGTAATTCCCTTTTATTTTTTTTATAGTAAATTTGAAAACAATTTTTTATAGTTAAATGGAAACATATCATTTCTATATAATAAGATTAGTTATGGATTAAAATTATATATATACATACTAACCGATAAGTAGTATTGAAATATGTATTAAAAAATTGTCAATACTTTTAAATTAACAATATATATTGAGGATAAAATGATTTTAATTATTGTATATGCTATTGATTTTAATGAAAATATATGATTGAAGTAACTTTATACTTATTATTAATTGTTTCTCCAAGTTTAAATACATTTGGGTTATTAAAATTTTCTATTTTTATATCGACTAATAAGTCGGGTATTAGATTAAAACATAATTTATGAGTCATTTAAAACAATTAATGGATCTAGGAAAATCATAGATAATGAAGAATTCTTAACAATCGATGAAGAAAATATTAAAGTTTTAGTTTTTAAGTAATGAATAGTAATCCTTTATCTAAAAGTGTCTACAAATATTGGGAAAATGTAGCATCGGACCATTTTTAGCCATGGTTAATGATTAAATTTTTATTAATTATCAAGTTTTATTTCGATAAAAATTTTAGATATTAAAAACATAATATCAAACCAGAATAAAATATTAATTATATGATCGAAAACACTATTTTTACGATGACGTTAACTAGATTTGTGTAGTCTAATTTTCTCCTACTCTATGCAATATTTTATCACTGAATGATTGTGATTAGAGTTTGTAATCACTAGTCATTACAATAGAAACTAGAAGTATCTCAAAGTTGTTTCGTATTTTAGCAAACATTTGTAAAAAATATATAATTGTTTACTAATTTTAATATGAACACAAGCATACCACAAAAAACCATTAGGTTTCAATTTTTAAGTTTTATTAGTGAGCTTCAACAGAATAAGTATTTGACATTTTGACCCACATTTAATGATTGATAACGCACATACTTATTGCTTGGATATTCGTAAAGAAGTAAAAAAAAATCAATTAGTAAGTATATTCATTATGTATATTAAATTATTTATTGCAATTAAAATATACAGTTTTTAAAATTTCATTTATAGTACTGAATCAATTAAATAGAATAAATTTTTTTATATTCTACTTAAAATAAAATAAATCTTTGTTTTCATTCTTTTAAAAAAATTATTTGTTAATATATTTTAATCATATAATTTTTCTATATTCACAGTTTAAATAAATCATTTGGCTTTAAAATAAAATTTTTCTATCTGTTTTTAGACTAAATATCTAAACGTATTAGTTACTAAAGAATAATGTCTGAATATGATGATGAAGATATGGATTATTCAGATCAAGATGACTATGAAGATTATTATAATGCAGATCGCGATGTAATGAGTCCTCCTCATAATCCAGATCCTGAATATTTCCCTGTACAATGTTTGTCAATTGATGAGGTTGATAAATTTTTAAATGAACTTGTCGAACAACTATGTACTAGTATACATATTAGTCCATCAATGTCAAAAGTTTTACTATATGAAAACAAATGGGCTGTACAAGAAATATTATATAAATATAGTGAAGATGCTGATAAACTACTAGTTGCATCAAGAATGAAATCTTTACAGACAGTTTTAAATAAAGTAAAGAAAAATGAATTTGTATGTCCAGTTTGTGTTGCAGCAATTGAAGAAAATATAGGAATCACAAGTTTAACTTGTGGACATAGATACTGTGATACATGTTGGTGTTCTCATTTTGAAAATAAAATTAAACAAGGCGTGAGTACTGAGCTAACCTGTATGGCATTAAACTGTGAAATACTTGTACCTGAAGATGTAGTACTTTCAATTGTAGATAAACCAATTTTAAGAAAACAATATCAACATTTTGCTTTTCGTGAATATATTAAATCACATCCATTATTACGCTTTTGTCCAGGAGCTAATTGTAATGCTGTAATAAAATCTAAAGAATCTTTAGCAAAGAAGGCAATCTGCACTCAATGTGAAACATCATTTTGCTTTAAATGCGGTAATGATTATCACGCTCCAACTGACTGTGCTACCATCAAGAAGTGGATAACAAAATGTGCTGATGACAGTGAGACAGCTAATTACATAACAGCAAATACTAAAGATTGCCCCAAGTGTAATATTTGTATTGAGAAAAATGGTGGCTGTAATCATATGCAGTGTTTAAGTTGTAAATTTGATTTCTGTTGGATGTGTTTAGGAGATTGGAAAGCACATGGGACTGAATATTATGATTGTTCCAAATATAGAGAAAATCCTCAAAATGGTTCTGAATCAGCTAAAGCTCGTGAGGCTTTAAAAAAATATCTTCACTATTATGAACGATGGGAGAATCATTCAAAAAGTTTACAATTAGAAAAGCAAACACTAGATAAAATTAAAGAGAGAATAAATAGTAAAGTGATGACAAGTAAAGGTACGTGGATTGATTGGCAGTATTTATTAGATTCTGCTGCATTGTTAGCTAAATGTAGATATACCTTGCAATACACATACCCATATGCATATTATATGGAAAATGGACCAAAGAAAGAACTTTTTGAATATCAACAAGCTAAACTAGAAGCAGAAATTGAAAATTTGTCTTGGAAAATCGAAAGAGCAGAAACAACAGACAGAGGTGATTTAGAGAATCAAATGGATATAGCTGAAAAAAGAAGGGCTACTATGCTTCAAGACTTTTTCCAAATTTAAAAGCTTTAACTAAAATCTTTATTATAAAATTTATGTAAATATTACCTAAAAATTATAAATTTAATTCATTTGGTATATTTTTATTTTAATACCTTTTTTTTTATTATTTATTATAACTTGTAACTAAAATAAATATGAAAAATAACTCTTTTAACTATATACATATATATGCATTGAATATATAATTTAAAAGTAAAGCTCTAAAGAAAAATATTTAAATCATTTTCATAATGTAAATTATAAATATTATAATAATAAATTAAATGTATATTTTGCTATCTTAATTTACTTTAATTTTTTTTTATTTATTTTTAATTAGAGTTGTTATCCATTGAGCGCTTTATCAGTTTAATATATTCTAAAAT